TCCTCCCTCCCAGTGCTCGGGCCGCGACTCACAAAGTTCCCTGGCGGCAAGCCCAAGAGGAAGGACGAGGTGTTCCTGGACGCGCTCTACCTGAAGCCCATGCGGGCGTGAGTGCTTGGTTTCTGGGTGTTTCGGGGGAGAGTGTCCTGTGTGCCTGCCCTGGCAGCGCTCGGTGTGCCACCCGCAGCAGCCATTGCACGTTACAAAAATCAGGGTGCGTGCCGAACGGACCCACCCCCCACACACACATCAGCAAATCCTGACATGCAGCCCGCGCACCACCTGTGCAGGGTGTGTGCACTGGCCGGGGCCAGCGTCGGCTCCTACCACGACCTCCGGCGCGGGCTGCAGGCAGAGCTGGCGGACTGGGCCGCGACGCGGTATCGCGGCGAGCTGCTGGAGGGGGTGCTGCGGGGCATGCGGGAGGACATCGAGGAGTACGAATCGACGCCACGCAACCGCGCGCACCTCTCGGAGCCAGGGGAGGGCGCTCCAGGCGCCGCCGGGGCTGAGGCCGAGGAGGAGCCTGCCGTCGCGGCACAAGCCTGAGCCAGAAGGGGGGACTTGCGCCCGTGTGGGCACCCACTGCGTGGCGACGGGGGGTGCCATCCCATCCAAGGGAAGGTTTGCGAGGTGCAGGCCCGCACCTGAGGCTCTCCCACACGCCCAGAGTCCCCTTCCCAATCTGTGTGCAGCATACCAAACACATCGACGTGCTGGGCTCCATGACAAGTGGATAGTAGGAACATTAAACAATGGGACAAAAGGTCGTTGTGCAGTCATTCGTGACTGCACCCCGCCGCGAGTGACGGCACAGCACAAAATTGCCCAGGGGCTCGGCCCCATGCCACTCGAACAAACATCTAGATGTGGCACCGCATAGGATGGGACCGTGGGAGGAAAAGACAGGTCGAATGGTTTGGAGGCACGGCGGAAACTCGCCGCATGGAGCTCAATCTGCCCCTTCTACGCCATAAAATTGCAAACAACAGGCACACTCACGCTCTCCCGCTAAGAAGCCTGGATCGCGGCACAACACTCCCAGGTGCAGGGTCTCGACAGGACTCTGTGATGGGTCCAGTCTGCGCAGCAGTCCTTCCACACAGACCAATCCCTACAACGTCCTCGTGCGGGGCCTACTCCTGGGCGCTCGCGCGCTTGCGGTCCAGGATCTCCCTCTTCTGGGCCTTGGTGAGGCCTTGACGCTTGATCCCAGTCATGTTGTAACCGTCAGCCGAGGCCTTCGTGGAGCTCTTGCCAGCGGTGATGTTGGCGCTGGCACTCTGTACGCTGCCGAAGGCAAGGCCTGCAGAGCGGCGGGGCGGGAGGGACGTCACGGCCTCCACAATGAGGATGGAGGATGGACCCTCCGCAAATCGGGGGGGTATGGCGACAAGGACTGTCGGAATCGAAGCAGGTTGACCGCATGGCGCGCATTCCGCCACCGCACAGTGCATATGCCAAGATAGAATGGTTCCAGACGTACCGACAAGGGGGATAGCGGCCAGCACCTTCCGACGGTTGGTGTCCTCGGTGTTATGAGCGGAGCAGGTGGTTGTCGACCTCCGAGCATCCATGGAGCGCTGCAGTCGTCGGGGCAAAGTAATAAATCTGTGTCAAGCAGCCGATTGGCAATGCATAGTGTCCTCGAGCTTGGGCGGCGAGTGCGTGCGGGTACCCACCTTGCCGGCAATAGCGCTGTTGAGGAATGCTTGCACGAGAGTCGTCATGGTGGCTCGACAGTCAGAGAATAGATTCAAAAGGGATTCGGCGTGTAGAACTGGGGCTGAAAGTGTGCAGTATGCTTAATAATGGTCAGGGAGAGCCGATAAGGTGGGGAGGGGCGGTGAGGTTCATGTGGGCATCCTTTCCTCCTCCATCGAACCCAGGACGTGAAAATCACGGACAGATCCCCGCTGATCTGGCCCACCCAAACCTTGATTGATCAGAACACCCAAGTCTCTGATTTTCAAGGGCAGAATGTTGGCGCAATGGACACAAACCCCTTTCGCCTGCATCTTAGATGGTCAACAGATAATTGCAACCCATTTTCCACTGTGTTGGAGTTCAGGCCCCGCAAAGCATTTCACCTCCTCATGGTGTCTCCACTTTCGAGAAGAAATCCAAGATTGCGCAATCTGTCCACCATCTGCCACTCCCAGGGACTGTTTCCTTCCACCTTCCCAGCTGGCACCATGGGCAGCACAGGCCCTGTCAAGACCATTTGCGGTGCATGGTGCCGATTCCGCCCTTAGTTCTCTCAGATGCACACGCCCCACGGCCAGCCAGTGGATGCACCTCGCCGATTGCGGCATCCTGCTCAAAGTGACAAGGTCGGGTGGTCCGAGATGCTTAGCGGCGGCGGTGGTGTGCTGGTACCTTGAATGAGGCACAGGACGGGTGCTACTGGCAAGACCCTGCTTTGCGGGACTCACAGCTGCAAACATGGTGTTGTTGCATGAGGGACACCACATTCTTGCAATGGGACACTACGTGTCATGCACAGCACGCGCTCCCAGGCTTGACTTTCCTATGCTCTGACTGTATTGCTTCCAGCTGCCGCAGCAGATTCCCCATCTGCATTGTGGTCACTCGCGGCTCGGCCTTGGTGTCCGTTAAGGGCATTTGTCTCCCACACGCTGAGGAGCTTCCTGTCCTGGCTAGATGTGTTACATGCACACTGAGTTCCACCGCAACACCTTGCCCTCGCCCACTCCAAGAGACTGGGCTTGCTGATCACATCAAAGCCACACTCCAGTCTGACAGAGCATTCAAGGGCATGGAGCCTCATGCGCCACCGCGACTTGGCCGCAATTCTGTGCCTCATCTTCTTCTGGCGCGTGTGGGATAGCATCTGTTGCGAGGGTAATGTCTGTGCCTGTGGGGGACCACCGTGAACTTCCAGATCTGATCTGTGCCCCTCGGCCAGGAATTTGTGGTGGTGTATCTAGTGGTGTGGGAATCGTTCCATGTCCATGTGGCATACTCATTGTCGATCAAGTATACGGTGACTTTGCCAGACGTGTAGGTCACGATGGTGATGGTGATTGTCACCTTCTCAGTGGAGGAGGACCACTGGAAGTTACTTCCGGCAAAGCGGGCGGTGGCGGGCTGGGAGGGAGAGGTGATGGTGGGCTGGGCGGCGGCGGAGACAGTGGTCGGCTGGGAGGGGAAGGAGGTGGTGGCGGGCTGATAGGAGGAGGTGATGGTGGGCTAGGAGGGAGCCCGGTGGGAGGAGAAGACGGCAGCGGCCCGGTGGGAGGAGGAGAGGACGGTGGCGGGCTGGGAGGGACCCCTGTGCTTGGTGGAGGTGGCGACTGGAAGGTGGTAAGAGGTGGCGACTGCTTCATGGGTGGGGGAGGCGACTTCCTTGAGGGTGGGAGATGCGACTTTCTTCCAGGCGAGGGAGGCGGCGGCGACATTTTCTTGGTGGGGGGTGGCGAGCTGCGCTTGGGTGGAGGTGATGGAGGATTGTAGGTCTTGAACGCATACTTCCTGAGTTCTGACAGGCTGCAGAAGTTCAGTACCATCCGGATACCCACTGCATTGTTGCAGCGGAGTCTGGACCCCGCGTTGTTGTCACCCCAGTTGTAGTTGCCCTTGTTGGAATTTCCTGTGGAAGTGCAGGACCGTTGAGACGACTGAGGAAGGCTGGTAAGTAGTCCATCGAGTAGAGGTCATCAGCCCATGCTCGCCCCGTCGTCCTATCCCACCCTCTAGCATACCAATGTTGTAGTCGCCCACATTGTTGTCGCCGAAGTTGTCCTTGCCCTTGTTGCCTGTACCGACGTTGCCTCTTGAATCAGCTGTGCACGCCGACTGCCATGCCTTTAGGCACTCCACACCCACCAGAATCTCAGTGGATCCACCCTTGACCAGTGTTAACAGGCTCAGGCTGATGGCGTGGACAGACAATCCGAGAGCTTTGAGTGTAGTCGTCCTGACGGAACCCTGCTTGCTATAGCCTTGCTCCCTGTGATGTTAGGAGGGGAGATAGGTAACACCACAGGGGAGTGCGAGCTGAACCCCCCTCTTGGTCTGCAAGTTCCCCTGCCCAGGATCGCATGCCACACTCTCACGCCGCATGTCTTCGCACCTGCAAAACCCCCCCGCGCTCTTGGCAGTGAGGGACGGTTACATGGGGTCCGTATCTGCAATGTTAGCACCGGAAACCGGGGAGCGGGGAGCAAGTCGATTCGAAGTGAGAGCTGTTTGTGGAACTCCCCACGTCTTCCGGAAGGGGCATTACATCATGGCGGGGCCTTTGACCCTAATTGTAATACAACCTAGTAGGAATACTCACATGGCAGATGGCAGGGAGTAGAACTTGGACGTGCATGCTCCCTGGCATGTGTGAGGTGGGGTTCTGGTCGGTGAAGGATGGGCCTCGCGGACGTGCATGTGACCGTCCTTGCCAAGTGAGGATACTTGCAAATGAACCTTTGCATACCTTAATTGCCACCGTGAGGCTCAGAAGACAGACGGCTATGCCCAAGCAGGGCAATAGCCCGCAGGTCCCGCATTTAAGTACCGCGGGGGGGTTAACGAACGACGCACGGCTGTGCTGTGTTACCAGAAGAGGCCGAAGAGAGCTGAGAGGCCGGGAAATCTACTGCTATAAGTATCTTGGCTCATGTAGGGGGCATCGGGAGGCGTTGCCTCGTAAATTTGCGTACCCGAGGCGCCCTTGGCCCTCTCCGGCGACGGTGTGACCGGACACTAAAGATTGACGCGACGTCCCGCCCCCCGGAGTGCTCCGGACGGGGATGGTCTCTGCTAAATATTTCAAAAGCATACGCAGCTGAGCTGCCATCGCGGCCTCGTCCAGTGCGTCGGTCTTCTACCAACCCCCATCTCTATGGTGAGGGTGATCATTGCAGCCAATCACTGGAGTGCCTGCTTCACCTCTGATCCACCTTCTGGTGGAAAGGCGGTGTTGCTTGGGATGCTCAGGCATGGCGGCGTGCAATATTCTCTATGATTTGCAGGGCGGTACCACCGTCCAGTCTTGGACCTCGGGCCTCTCGCATGTTGCTGCAATGTCAGGGCGGGAGAAAAATGGTCAGGTACACTGGACGTTGCTCCCAGCCCAAACCTCCTGACGGTGCCAGCCATGGATCTCAAGATGAGTTCTATGTAGAAGCGTGCACAGAGAGATGCATCAGCAAGCTGGTGCGGATGATGGAATGATGGGGCCTTGCTGTGGCACCGGGATGAGACGCCCAGGGCGGTGCGCTGCAGCAGAGACATTGCGCACCCCATGCAGTCCACCCTTCGGTGATGCTGCAGTCTGCCGGCCTCCCTGCACGGCTTCCCACTCGCGGTCTATGCCAGGAACAAATGACGCAATTTTGTGCCCGAGGAGGCACCACATGATATGGTCAGTAAGGTCTAGGCATGGCGTGGGGCAGTTACTGGTGATGCCATCGGGCGGTCCGTGTCTGGGGCACGGGAATCCATGAATCACACACCCTGCAAATTTGTCATCTCAATATTCGATTCGTGCCCCTCCCTCCCCCCTCCCTTCCACACGTCCCTGGGAGATAAGATATGTGCGCCGAGAAGGCTCGCGTAATTCCAGAAGCCACTCTTCACTGCACTTTTTGTCGCGGCCTGGAAACCACATCTTCTTCTTCGCCGGTCGCATGTGCCCGCGCGCTGGCTTTTGACTATTCTGGAGTCAACGGCATGCTGTACTGGTTGAGAGGTGTGAGCCCCTCTGATTCTGCATTTTCATTTCATGAAGACCAAACTTGTCGACAAGTTGTACCTCGACCAGGGGAGGACGCGATCGCGGGGGATGCAGTGTGAGCATCGGGCTCCAGATCGGGGAATGGATCCCGCATGCATCGGGGGTGCACCAGAGATGGACTCCATACCCCGCCCCCTGCTTGCCAAAAGACATTTTGGATAAAAGGGGTGTGGAGGAGGTATGGTACGGCTAGGGGACATCTGGGTTCATTGACTAGCATTACCTTTGTTGCATTGGCTGAGCCTCACGCCTATCAATCCTGTATGACATGCTCCTGTGTTGAGGCCAGTGCACCCTTCCCCCTCTTGTTTCCAGCCCCATTACCTTGCCGCACAGCGCCCTGAGCCCTTTCTTCCTGACTTGGAGTCTTGGGCGACCCTTTCAAAGTTTTGCCTGTTTATGACCTATTCTCCAAGCGGCTCTGCTGTCAAAGTCAGTGCCCCCTGGGGTTTGTTATACATGGGCATCATGATACCCTGGGGTGCACACTTGTGGGACCCGAGCCATCCAACCTCTGGCACTCTCTCCAGGTGCGTCTGGTGGAACCCCAGCCGCAACCACTCACAACAACAATCCAGGCACCCCTCCGCGGTGTCCGCCGTGGCATCCTCCCTCCCCTGACTGGCAGCCGGCGTGCTCGGGGGGCCTGCGCCATGGCGCCCCAGGGTTCCTCCCATCCCTATACAGGACCAGACCCGCAGCCTTGGCCTCCCGCAGGCCGACCCGCTTCAGGCCCCCTCACGCCCATTGCACTCCGGCGCGGCCCTGCGAGCCCGGACCCCCTGCCTGGACGCCCTGACGTCCAGGCAGCCCCGCGTCACCACCGCGCCCTGGCCCCGCAGCCAGCGCGCCGCGGCCTTGAGCGTGGCGAACCCCAGCCAGGGCGCCAGGGTTCCCAGCTCCACCTCGGTGGCGTAGGCCGACAGGATCGCCGCTGCGGTGGGGGGGCCGACGGGGGTTAGGCTTCGACGACAGCCGGCGCGAGGGTGACCACGCAGGGTGGGAGCGCACAGGTGTGGGGATCCGCTGGCGTGCCGGCGGCGGCCCCTTCGCTCCCCTTACCAGTCCTCATGACCCAGCCTCGCCACTGCTCCCAGGACATGCTCCGGACCCCCCCCCCCCCCCTCCTCCCTCCGGCGCACCGAATGCGTGGTCCCTCAGCCCTGGCCGGAGGAGGTCGAGGCAGTAGGAGGCCATGCGCGGGGCCGCGGCCGCCAGCCGCGCGGCTTCCCGCCAGTTTCCTGCGCGGTGGGCCGCCACCGAGGCCAGTGCGTGACGCAGCATGGGCCCCGGACCGGTCCCCCGCGCTGCGCAGCGGGCGGCCGCGCCGCGCAGCTCGGCGCCCAGCGCGGACGCCTGGCGGGAAGCTGCGCCCCCGGCCGCGGCCAGCAGCACGCCGTAGGCCTCGAACTCGTCGGCGCTGCCCTGGGAGTTTGGTTTTTTGGGGGGGGAGGGGGGGCAGGGGGTGGACGGTAGATGTGGAGGGGTAAGAAGAGCGGGCAGGGTGGGGGGGTTGGAGTGTGGCGAGTGGGTGAGTGCCGGGCCGCGCCGTGTGCTCCGAGGCACCAGCGGATCGGAATGATGTGGACGTTTCCCAGCCCCTCTGCCAGCACACCCCACCCACGTGCGACCTCCAACCCTCCCCGCATCACTCCACACGCCCCGGGCACCGCACGCTGCTCACCGGCACGACCTCGTCCGCGCCATCGGCCCAGAGGCGCAGCAGGCCCGCGTGGCACTGCCTGAACTCGGCCCAGTCGCCCGCCTCCAGCGCCACGCGCGCGTGCGTCTCGTAAACGCCCACCGCCAGCGGGGAGGTGACGTGCTGCACGGTCAGGTCCTGGCGGATGGACTTGAGCTGCGCGCACGCGTAGGCATAGTCGTGGTCCTGTGCTTGCGTGGGGTGCGGGTCGGATGGCAGGTGGATGGGTGGGGTGTGGAGGTGGTCCGTGGTGGGAGGCCGGCTCCCTGCCTGATCCCAAGCCACGGACAGGCCTGGGAAAGGGACGGCTTGCCACAGGGTGCGATGGACGTGCTGCCGTCCCCCAGCGACGGCCTCGCTCCACATCATTCACACCCACTCAGGAGCCACAGCGGCGTGCTGTTGTCACCCTCGCACAGGACCCACCTGCACCCAGCGCGCCTTCACCAGCGCCAGGGACTCGGCCAGCAACCCCGGCGGCCGCACGTCCTCCAGTGCGGGCAGCGCGGTCAGGCGCAGGAACTCTCGCTCCAGGGCGGTGCTACGACCCTCCGCCGCGGCGCCCGCGCGCCGCGCCTGCACCAGCGTCTCCCGCTGGCCCACGCCGGCTGCCCGCGCGCCGACCGCCAGCTCCTCCTGGAAGCGGGCTCTGCGCTCGTGACGTCGGGCGGCCTCCTGCGCGTCCAGGCGGAGGGGCCTGATGACGGCGCCGGGGGGGGCGGGGGCGGGCGCGCTCGGGGCTGGCGGGGCGGCGGCCAGCTTGGCAGACGCCTGTCGGGGGGGACGGGAGATGTGTGGTGTGTTGGAGGGGGTCGAAGGTGCATCTCGCAAAAGCTGCCCATGGGGCATAAGGGCTGTGCCCCCACTATCAACAGCAGCTTCACGTCCGCACCGAACAAGGTTTTGGTGGCGCGACCGTGAGGATATCCCGCATCCACACCCTGTGTCATCCATCCAAAGGATGGTCCCCTGCCGAAACGCCCCCACCCCATCAGCTCGCCTGCAGGGCGGCGGCCGCGTGGGCTGAGGAGGCGTCCAACAGGAAACCCCTGTTCAGCTCCTCCATGCGCTCAAACATGGAGGCTGCCTTACGCTTGGCCATGCTGGTGGCCACGCCGTGCGAAAGGTTTGCAGCACCCTTCTGTTTGGCGCTCGACACCTCCTTCACACAGGGTTACCCAGGGGGCCTACATGGCCCTGTGGCCCAGCCAACGACTTTGAGTCTGTCCTGCAGAGATCTCCCGTCCACCGACTCTTAGGGTTGCAACACAAGCATGATTCAATTCCGAGATTCAAACCACCCCGCCAGCATCTCTACCAGCTCGTGCTGGCCCTGCAATGAGGCCTTGGTTCTTGCCTGATGTGTCCGCGCCCTGCGCACAGATGTGGAGTTCCCGGAGGCGCGCTCACCTTCGAGGACACGGCCGGGAGTCAAGTAAGCGGATGAGTCAAACTATGGGATGCCATTCCCCGTCGCAACTTTAAGAACCTAATTCAAAGCGTGTCGCAGGAGCCTAAAGTCGCATTGACATGGTTGGTGAGTCTTGAATACGGGCGCCTGCTGTGTGGCACGCAGTTGGTCTTTGTTGCCTGTGATGTTCAACACACATCCACATTCGACATATTACAGGCAAGGAAGGAGGCAAGGCGAAGCCCTTGAAGGTGAGAATGGGGGTTTGACCTTCTGGATGGCAGGGCGCGACTGGTCATAAGCCGCAGTATTCCCCTGCTCGTGCGTGCTTGTGGCGCAAGGAAGGAGACCAGTGCAAACCGCAATTCCTAACCGACACCGTAGAAGCCAAAGTCTGAGAAGACCTACGACGAAGACGACAAGGAGTTCCTGAAGAAGAAGAAGGTGAGCAGGGCTTGGGCGCAATCGACGCCTGTGTGTCATGTCTGCACACATACATTGAAGCAAACTCATCCCGTGCCTGGCATTCCTATCGATAAGGAGGAGGAGGCAGCGCTGAAGAAGGCGCGTGAGGCACTCAAGGGTAAGAAGAAGTAGGCCCTGTCGAGCAGAGGATTATGGAGGAGAAAGCGGCAAAGGAAGCTCCCAACAAGCCACATGACTGCCTGTCCTGTCGAGTGACGGGCACAGCCGTCTGCCTGTGCATCTCTGCATACCTGGCTGCTCATGAATATGCACGGCCTGCAGCCTCGCCCATTCAGCATCGGTTCACTTTGGTGATGGCAGGTGGGTTTGCCGTGTTGGGAGTCATGCGAGCCCTTGTGTAATCAGTACACCAGAGACTGGCTGAGATGCACAGTCTGGCTGAAAAAATGATTTCTATTGAAAAACAGGAAGGTGTTATACTGTTGGTGTGTAGAAGCTTGAACGCCAGCACAACACCGCGCTCTGCAAGGTGTCGAGTACCTCCGGATGTCGACACCTTGCGCACGCGGGGGGAGGGACCCATGAATTCTGTCCTCTCACCAAGCCCCTCGCCGCCCCACCAGCCTGCTGGTCAAGACTTCTGTCCTTCGCTGCGCGAATTTTCAGGCTTGGAGGTCGATTGGCCACCTGAGGCGCACGCCCAGCCTGATCGATCGCCAAGGCAGGGTCCCCACAGGGTTTCAGGACTGTACTGCTGCTGCCATACCATCACCAGTCCACGGCGGAGCTCATGCGAAGCATCTGCCAGCGATCATTCACGTCCATCTCGAGACTGACACGCGCCAGAGCCGGTGCATCGTCGCCTGCGCCCCACCCCCAGCCCATGACAGGGTCGGTTGTGAAGCGGGCCCGCACCGCTGGCTGCCACCAGCACAAGGTGGGCCCCACCTTCTCGGTGCCAGGACTGTGCATCACAGAGCACACATTCACCCTTCCCCTGGACTACTCTGGTGAGGGGGCCTGTGAGGTTGCCAGTGGCTGCCACATGCTCGTGCCCACACCGGCTTGTGCCGTGTGCCGGCCTCATCTCCGGCCCCCAGCGTCATGCCAGCCCCCTACCCATGCCCTCTAGGTCTCCACCCTGGCAATGTGGATGTCTTCTGCAGGGTACTGGTGCACAGGAACAAGGTCAGCGACCACAACCTGCCGTACCTGCTGTACCTGCAAGGTGCGCCCCTCTGTCTGGCCAGGGAGGGTTCGGGGACGTGAAAAAATGGTGCACAGCAGCAGGCATCCATGGGTAAGACTCTCTCTCTCACCAAGGATCCCTCTCCTCTCGCTGTTGCCCCACCCCCCGGTCCCACCTCGAGCCGAGTGCAGGAGGACCAGGGTTCGAAGCTCCACGACCCCTGGACAACACCGGGTGGATCAAGCATGCCTGCAACTACTTCCGCATCGTGCTCATGGTGGGCTCTCTTGCTCTGCGACGGGCGTGCTTGTTCCTCCCCTCGCGCGACGCAGCCCCTGCGATCCATGGCACCCACCGCCATGTCTCATGCGCTCGGCCCCACATGTCTTTCCCTCCAAACATGCAGGACCAGCGTGGCACAGGCCTGTCGAGCCCCATCACCCCCGGCAATGTCGAGAGGCTCGGGGACGCGGGAGCGCAGGCCCTGCACCTGACGCACTTCAGGTGGGCGTGGTGACCAGGGCGCTGAGGTGGCGGTGCGGGCCACACTGTACCTCCGGCGGCGCTGCCATGCCTGCATGCCAGTGGCGCCATCCCATCACTTGCCTGGCGTGCAGGGCGGACAGCATCGTGGCCGACGCGGAGGTCATCCGCATGGTGCTGGTGCCGGGAACAAACCACGACGGCCGCTGGACGGTCCTGGGCCAGAGCTTTGGCGGGTTCTGCTGCGTCACCTACCTCTCCCTCGCCCCAGAGAGTGAGCCTGGTCCTGTGTGACTGGGGTTGGTGCATGTGGGGACGGGGCGAGGTGATGCCGCCCATCCCGGGCCTGCCCCTGGAGCTGCACCCCTCCCCTCACTGCCATGCGGCTAACTGTGCATGGGAAGGGATGCCTTGTCTGTACGGGAAGGGACTTACTCGCCCTGATGGCATGCAGCCACAAACCCCCACGCCAGGGCATGCACGCTGACCATGCACAGCAGGAAGGTTCCCCGCCGGTCCTCCACTGACACTCCCCCCACCCCACCCCACGCTGACTTCCAGGCCTGATCGACTGCCTGATCACGGGAGGCATACCCCCGCGCATCGACACCCCCTGCGCCGCCGAGGCGGTGTACCGGGCGTGCGCGCTCCGGGTCCTGCTCCAGAATCGCAAGTACTATTCACGCTTTCCCATGGACGTCGCGCGCATTGGGGCGGTGGTGCGCTTCCTGGCGGCCGCCCCGGGAGGGGGGGTGAGTACACCCGCCGGGAACCTGCTCACCCCCAGGTGAGAGGGCTAGGGGTGGCCCGTGGTCTCAGTACAGGGATGGGGGCGGTGTGAGGGGGGGGCGGGATGTGGGACTGGGGGGCATTTGCATCGAAGTCAACCCTCCGCTAACAAAACACGTTGGGGTCGGGGATCGTGATGTGCGCCAGGGTGATGCACGAATGGCTCTCCCTTGCTCGAATCTACCTTTACCCATTCCTTCACCTCCACCCCTCAGGAGCCTGCAGCTGCTGGGCCTGCACAGCATGGGCTTCAGCACCGGCTTCGAGCGCCTGCACTACCTCTTTGAAGGCAGTTTTGATGGGCCAGAGCTCAGCCGCAAGTTCCTCAAGGTCTGGGGGGTTGGGGTGGTTCGACCCGGGAATGGGCTTGCAAGAACCTGGTGTGACGAATGTGGTGGAGCCACCATGGCTGCACAATCGCCCGTGGGGCTGGAGCATACAGGCAGAGTCTTGGGTATCGTTCCCCCCTCTGCTGTCTTCCCACCTGGCCACCTGGCACCATGGCCCCCCCTCCTGTGCGCCAGGATTTTGATGTGTGGATGAGCTGGGACACCAACCCCCTGTACGCCATCATGCACGAGAGCATCTACTGCCAGGGGGCTGCCTCTAACTGGGCCGCCGAGCGAGTACTGGCCAGCGGGGAGTTTGCCGACGCCTTTGACGCCACGCAGGCAGCACAGGCGGGCCAGCCTGTCAACTTCACGGGTAAGGGGGTTGTTGGGGTGAGAGGAGTATGCTGCCGTCCGGGTGATGTGCTGGGGAATTCTCCAGCTCCTCTGCTCCTGGACTGCAGAATGACATTTCAAGCTGCCATCTCATCACCCCTCAAAGGCGAGATGGTGTTCTCCTGGATGTTTGAGGCAATCGCCGGGCTCAGACCCATGAAGGAGGCTGCAGGTGTGAGGCGTGGAGGGGTGTGGGATGACGGAGCTATTCACCAGATTTGGGGCCTGGGGAGCTAATTGCATCGAGGCCACAAGTTCAGGATTGCAAAGTCTGCCGCAGGGACATTGTAAATAATGAACATGCTGTTTTGGTCTCATCAGGTGGGTCTGTACAGAACCCCATACATCAGCTTGCATGCCGCGGAACATTTACGCCCCCTTTGCATGTGGCAATTCACAGACATCCTGGCGAGCAAGGAGGACTGGCCAACTCTGTACGATGTGGATGTCCTGGAGGAGAACACCGTGCCCACAGCCGGCGTGCTCTACTACGAGGACATGTTTGTCAATTTTGGACTCGCCCAGGTGGGGCAGCCGGGCGACAGGGACCCGGGGACGCAGGGGGGTGGGCCCCCTGTTGGCCTCACTGCGCTGCAAGGCATGCCCCAACCTCCCACCACCCTTGCGTCCTCGCAGGAGACCGCCAATCGCATCAACGGCATGCACCAGTGGGTGACCAACGAGTATCTCCACTGTGGCATTCGAGAAGCAGGGGGCCCTGTCTTCGAGCGCCTGCTCAACCTGTGTCGGGGGGGCATCCTGCCCCGATAGTGGAGCAGGTTTTCCCATGTGTCGGCCCATGTGGCGAACACGTTTTGGAACGCCCGAGTGCCCTGCTCCTTCCCAGCTTGCATAGTCATGGGTAGAATACAGCTGAGCTGTGCAGAGGTCTGTACACGCATAGAACTGGGTTACGGCAACACAACGTCACAATCACTGTGGGCAGGAGTGGCTTGGATAGCAGGAGGAAATCTGGGGATTGGACAGTACAGTGTTCTATAAGGGATTGGCTGCAGGGCATTCCATGCAGCAGCGGGCCTCCAAGCCGCTCGGTCTGTTGGAGTATGCCATGGTCAACTGGGGGTACAAAATTGCAAAGCTTGTTGAGAGCAAAGGACGTGCTCATCACGTAAAAATTCTCAGAATGCATATCACACAATGCTGTAGAGCCACAAGGGTGGTACACCTATGCCAGAGATCAAGGGATGCCAGGCCAAAGATTTTCAGAACTCTGTCCAGGTGGTAACCCTGCAGAGGCAATCACTGCCAGCCCGCCGCCACGCCATATACCCAGATGGCCAGGGGCAGAGCAGCATTGTCCCAGGCCCCTAGTGGTAGGGACTCCACACCTGCTGCCGCAAGGGCTGCGCCGAGCAGGAGCTTTGGACTGGGGCGGTACAGGAAGCCCAGCCCTCCGAAGAAGGACAGCATAGCACTGCTGAGGAGAAAAGCACCGCCAGCGGCGGAGATCGAGCCGCCCAGCGTCTGGAGATGGAACAGAGTGGAGGAGGGTGCCATGCCGGCGTGGCACCTTAGCAAGCCCTCATGAGCTGGGAGGGTGCCGAGATAATGCAGGCCTCTCGGCCTCCCCTCGGTGAGACCATCCCTACTGTCCGGCGCACCTTCTGGCGGTTCCAGGGGAGCGCGACGCGAGGCAGCCAGTGCCCCCCCAGCTCAGCTGCGCCATCGCCGCCACACAGCGCGCACAGCGCGACCACTGCGGTCGGCGAGCGCCGCCAGCCCAGCGCGGCAGCCGCGACGTGCGCCAGGCCATACAGGACCGGCCCGGTCAGGAGCTCCTGTCTCAGCCCGGTTCGCTGCACGGGGTTGGGCACGTTGGGATCTGATCGGTTTGTGAAAGTATGTAGGTGGCTCTTTGTCATTTGGGCAGGCGGCGCAGGGGTGGTCATTACCGTGATGCAAGGTATCCTTGACGGCATAGACTCGCTGCTTGGAGTTCCCAAACCACACCAGTACACCATACCGAGGAGGTGGCGACCAGCTTGGGGTCAGAGATCCAGCCGCTGCCGACCGCCAGGAATTGCAGCGTGGCGAGGGCAGGCACCGATGAACACAAGACCGAGCTCCAGTGGGACTCCGAGTACATGGGCCAGCACAGCATGAAGATTGGTCCCGTACCTGGTATGGTCATGAATGAAGGGTTGCATGTCATGGCAGTTGTATGTCAGGCCCTGGGCAGGACCCTGAACACCCCTCTGAAAAGTGATCTCGATAATTTCGTTGCTCCAGCTTGATAAGGCCTGAGGGTCAGGATCCTGGGAATAAGACGGATGATGTCCCAGGCACTCTCACCGATATGAATGATCTTGCGTGTGAGGTATCGGGGGAGCCCTCCCCGGCTGCCGATGAGCCGGCAGAGGTGCAGGTACCCTACCGCTAAGAAGGCTGTGCACAGCCATGCAAGTAGGTCGCGATTCATCTAAACCCTTTCAGTGAAACTGCAGTGCGGCGCAGACAACATTTTGCCTGGGATCGCTCCCCGATGGCGTGCATGAAGTTGTGCACGGAGCAATGTCCGGCCAAACGAATCCGAAGATCTCGATTGCATCCTGTGTTGCTGAAAGCAGCAAGGGCTGGGGATATCAGGGAGTTCTACACAGGGACACATCACATTCGTTCACGGCACAGCAGATGGGTCGATTTGGTGGATGTATAGAGGACAAGGGCCGACCCAAGAGCATCAGAGCTCTTCGAAGAGCCTGCGCACTTCACGGTAGACTTCCTCGGGGTCGCGGTGGGCGTCGATGCGAGCCACCTTGCTGAGAGCCTCATAGTGCTCCACGACAGGGAGGGACTGCTCCGTAAACACCTGCAGGGTATTGACGGGCAGAGGTTTGTTGACTTTCCCTCGAGTGTCCTGGCGCCCTTCCAGTTGGCTGACCGCGGAGCTGGTATGCGGAGGGGAACCCGTGCGGTTCCACCCCCCCGCCAGCGCACCTTGAAGCGCTTGTGGATGGTCTCGATGTTGTCGTCGGTCCTGCCCTCCTGGCGTCCCAGCAGGCGTTCCATCATGACCTGTGACATGTGGTGAGGGACTGTTTTGGTACTGAACCGGTGCCAGCTCGCCAGGCATGGGGGTGCTGGGGCCCATGTGTCTCTGTGCATCCACTACACTGTGGCCATCCATGACGCTCGTCAACGCTCACAACCCCACAGCCTCGGTAGTCGCGTATACATACCCCTCCCCCACCCTCCCCCTGCACGTGCCTCTTCGCTGCAGTCGAAGAAGAGGACAAGCACTGGGGCAATGGACAGCTGCAAGGAGTGGGGTTTGGGTGTGCAAGGCGTCAGCTAGTCAGAAAAGGGGCAGAAATGGGCGCAGAAATCAAGTAGGGGAGATGTGCATGACCATGTTGACTCAGGGAAGATTCTCGCCAACTCGAGATCCAGTCCCGCCCCTCCATCAGCCTCTGCCAGGCAGCGCAACACATGTACCTGCTTTTCGAATGCGGCCCGGTTCTCCTCGTTCCTTGGGAAGCCATCGATGAGGAACAGGCTCTTGTCAGACGCCTCCATGGCATCCTTCAGCAGTGTGACGGTCACCTGATTTGCAGCAGTAGGTAAGAGGCAGGGGTTCATTAGTTGGCATGAAATTCTTGCACCTGACAGGACACTGGCATGCATCAAAACTCCAGGCATTGACCCTCATTGTTGCTGGGTAGCAGCAATGCATGCCTTGGGCAGACGCCGCCGGCCCAGGCCACCAGTGCGCCTTCTCCCCGAGTAAACCGCACATGTGAGGGCACGATCCGACCGTTGGCGATCATGTCTGCCACCATCTGGCCATCAGGCGTGCCAGACTTCATGTGGGCGCGGAGGAGGTCGCCAGCAGAGAGGTGTACCGCACCAAACTCCTTCACAAGCTTGCCGCTCTGGGAGAGGGGGTGGGGTGGGGAGGGAGGGGTAAAAACAGGTCAGGGGGATTGTGGTCCATGGCATAGTTTGACAGCTACGCCTTCAAGGTATAAGCGTGGTGTGCTGGACGCGTACATGCAATATCCTCGAGCAAATGACACCCAGCACGGCCCTGGGCCCACCTGCGTTCCCTTGCCAGACCCTGGCCCTCCCAGGACGAAGACGATCTTCTTGGTCGCCAATGACTTCCCAGCAGCGGCAGCTGCGGCGGGGACCTGTTGAAATGGTACGCGGAAGTTGCGCCGAGGCAGGAAAGGGCAGTGCTCAGATCGGAAATGTACCCCCAAGGCGTAGGGAGGGGCAAAACAGGCCAGTGCCAACATCCCTTACCTGGCTGTCGGTCATGGTAGCGGCCATGCTAAGCTTCTGAAAGTAGCTGGTAGATGTCTTCTGCACAATTTGGTTGTCGAGATAGATCAGTTGGCATCCTTAGGGGCGGGCCGCGATCCTGTTCAGCCTGCAGAATATGCTGGGACGCCTACCTGTCCGAGAGTATCTAGACAAGAAGAGAGACTTGTTGCACACTCTCTCTCCAAAGGTAGCCGGCGCGCTAGGTGACGCAGTACACGTGTTTGGCACAGGCGACTGGCAGCGAGCATACACAACTACCTCGCTACGGTTGCGGCGGTGCCCCTGGCGTCGCGATCACGCAGAGTGCTCCCCAGGGAGTGATTACTCGTGTATCAATAACTCCTGCGCCAGGTTTTCAGGGGCCTGCAATCATGTCGTCCGCTGTTTGCTAAGCGTTGGAATTATTCAGCCTCGGGGTTCCGTGTGGCGCGAGCTGCTGGAAAGGAGTTGTTTCAAACTGGCACTCGAATGGGATAGGGCCATCCCTGCCAGTTTCAGTCGTTAGTCAGCTGATCAAAGCATTAACAAGCATAGCATTGTTGCAATTCAGCGTTTGGGTGCCGCAGTAATCCACCATAAAGTAATTTCTGCTCCCCTCCCTGCGGCTCCCGACACGCTTTGCTTTTGGACTGTCCGTCGCCGGCGTTCGAGATGCACATCCAGCAAGCATGTACCCATTGTTGAAACATCCGGTGTATGGTGGAAGGGTCACATTGCGCACAGCGTACGGCATACTCTGTGGCCGGGCCATGAGGCACACCTCGGTCGTGCAGCTGACCGGTGCGAAACCCGCTCTCGGCAGCATCGAGCCAGCCTCCCTCCTCACCTATGAGACTATGGTCCCTGCCAGACTACTCAGACGGTACAAGCGCTTTCTGGGCGATGTAGAGGTGTGCGAGGGAGCACAGGTGGCGGCTGATTGGATTGAAAAGGGCATCATGCCCAAAGATCGATCTGCATCCTGGGTCCTCCTTGGATTGCTAGCCCAATCCTCCAATTCCTGCCGCAGCTAAGAGTCGATGCTCAAGATGAAGATGCGGCGCCATCCACGACACAAGCCGTCATACATGTACCCAACACGGGCCCCATGACTGGGTTGCTGGATGAGCTACCCTCCCGCGTCGCCCTATCCCTCTCCGCTAACCTTAAGCGCAAATACGCACACTCCCTGGAATGGATCCACCTGCAGAAGGAGGTGCGATGGTACACTGTGTCGTCGTTGAAGGGCTTAGACAGGCACCGCTGGGTGTGAAGCCTCCTGTCAATTGGGTCAGAGGACAGAATAAATCATGCAGGCCCCAGCTTGGACGACCACATCTTGTTTCGATTTCATCACCCTGCACTTTGGTCGGATTATCCAATCATTGCCAACACAAGAGGCAGGCGCCCAGTGCATCTCATCACTCTCCCACCTCCCAGGCGGTATGGGTGGGAGTCCACAGCGCCCGAGCCAACGCCATGGCCAAGGAGCTCCTCTCCACCCACTGCCTGACTGGCTTGCCGGACTATGACAATATCACGCCAGGTCAGAGATGCGACTGGGAGGGGTTGACCCGGGTGGAATTCAATGGATGGTCAAACAGCAGCCTGCCTCCTCTGTGGCACTCGTGTGCAACCTATGATGCAGAGGGACGAGAGGGGGGCTGCAAACAGTGCGGCAACGCCTCTAGTGGTCCTCCTTTCTCAGCCTGCAAGATCCACATGTCTGTACAAGTTTCACCCCCCTCAGAGGTCAGATTTGGAAGGAATGGCGCTTCCAGGGTCGACTTCCTGCTTCAGCATAGCAAGTCTAACACTCAGTGCCATGTGGAAGTCAAGAGTGTGACCCTGGCTGCGACAAGCGAGGTGCATTGTGAGGTTGTTTGATGCTCCGAATGGGGTAATCTGTTTTCTGCTGCATCTGAGATAGTGCAAGCTGAGTTGGTCATAAGCAGTTGCATAACTGGTGCCGGCGTACATTGTGCAGCATTTTCTTGTTCACAGACCCACCATGAGCACAAAACCCTGCTACCGAGCGAGAATTTATGCTCTCAGTGTAGAGTATACATCCCTGTCAGCGCCCTCATGCATGCTCCTCCGTGCAGGCCGGGGATCGTCTCGCCCTGTTCCCAGACACGGTCAGCACCCGAGCCCAGCGCCACGTCAGCGAGCTGATGGCCGTTGCCCGCGCCGGCGGGCAGGCCGCGCTGCTGTTCCTCGTCCAGCGCAGCGACTGCGTCGCCTTTGCCCCCTGCCACGAGTGCGACCCTGTGTATGCGGAGGGTGTGGTGGCGGCCGCGGCAGCCGGCGTTCGCCTGCTCGCGGCCGCCGTGGCCTTCGACCCGGGCGCGGGGTGCGTGCGGTACTGCGGGCAGCTGCCGGTGCTACTGCAGTACCAGCTGCGCGACGGCCAGACCCTGCGGGCCCCTGCCGCTCTAAGCAGGCAGAAGCTGGCTGGGGCCGGCAAGAGGCCGAGGAAAGCCTGAACGCCCCCTTTTCCTGTGCTCGCCCTCCTAATTCTTTCTCCAGCACAATGTATTCCTTCTGCCAGTCTGGCGCATGTTCGTCACACAACCCCTTAATGTACCCACCAGGTCGCCCGGCCCTCGGCGTGGGCTAAAGCCTGTGCCATTCCATGCACGTGAGCCCCTGTTTCCCAGTTGCCCTTAGAGCCTCAGCACTTTTCCTTTTCCTCCCCTGCCACATCGCAGCATGTAGCACGATTCGCCCGGTGTGAAGAGAGAGCAGGGCACCCTGCAGCAAGGCAGCACGTCATGTTTCAAGATGTTCTCTAATCAAGCAGAATCACGGTTAAAAAGGCCGGCATCGGCCAGCGTCCACCATGCCAGCGGGCAGAGAGCTCCAGCAGCCGATCAGGCGCCGTTGGCACCCAGGAAGTCGTTGTCCGACAGCTTGGCGGAGAGCATGCCCGGCTCCAGCGCGGCCTCCAGATCCTTGGCGGCGGCCTCCAGGGCGGCCGCGTCCTTGCTCTCCACGCTCAGCACCAGGCCCACGCCATCGGCCTGCCCCGTCACCTGCACAGGAGGAAAACACAGCACAGGCATCTGATCTGGCATGCACAATACGAGCTTTTGGGCAGCGGTTCGCAGCCATGGGGGCACTGCCCCCCGCGTCCCCGGACGTACTGGGTAGGAGCCGCAGGAGACATTTGGGCCGTGCCGCTGAGCGACCGCCTTCAGGGGGTCGGCGATGGCGGTCTCGTCGTCGGTTCGGAGGCGCATGACCACGGAGTGGAAGGGCGCCAGCGGGCTGCTTGCCTCGTGCGAGGCACGCAGGTCAGCCTTCACCTCCTGTGCAGGGGCGGGGGGCACTGTGGCTTCAGGGTGGGCAATGTGGCTTCAGGGTAGGCACACGGCATGGAAACGGAAAGTGGGAAAAGAAGAGGGGGGGGAGTGAGCACCTCGGGGACCGACATTGCAAGGCATACCCATTCCATTCAAATGCCTGAACAAAGAACCCGCTGCATGCATGTCATTGGCAGCCAAACATCGCGGCCCCCGATGCACAAAATCTGCGCTCACCGGCCACTTCTCCTGCAGCAGGGAGGGGATGCCAGGCAGGGCGTAGACGTTCCGGCACCGGACCAGGGGAAAGGGGGAGAGCGCCCCGCTGCCCGTCCGGAATTCAATCAGGGAGGTCTCCGAGCCTGGCATGGGGGTGATGCGGGGTGGGGGGTGTGGGGGGAGTGAAAGGAACACAGGATCACCAGACGAGGTGTGTGGCAAGGTGCAAATGCTCAATCTGGACCTGATTTTTGAGCCAGAAGGCCATGGTCATGTGGCCGGCAAGCCCCTCCCGCCAGCCCAAGGTGTCACCCTTGCCTTCGGGAATCTCAGCCATCTTGAGGTGTGCGTTGGTGACATCACTCCCAAAATAGGCCCGGATCCGCCGCTCCAGCTCCGGGTTCCGAGAGATGTGGGTGTCGCATGCCTCTGCAGGAGAGGAGGGTGGGTAGAATGACAGTTGGTGTGCAGGATCAGCCATCGCCCCTCTTGCATTTGCTGGGGGTCGGGTAAACGATGTGTTACCTTCACCCTCCTCCTTCTCGTCCCAGCCATTCTCTCCCAGCCACCCCCCCCTAGCGGTCACCCCCACCCCCTGCCTCCGCCACCCCACCCCATCACACGCATAGAACACCCTCCCACCCTCCTCACCTGCCAGGGCCTCCAGAGTCATGTCGTCCACGGTCGGCCCCACCCCCCCGGCCGTCAGTACGACATTGAACGCAGCGCTCATGGTTTTGATCTCCGCCGCGATGGCCTTCACGTCGTCCCTCACCACCGCAACCTGCAGGGTGCGGAATCGAGTCGTACTCACGCCGGAGCAGCAGACGGTGTGGAGCGCTCCCATGTACCCAAAGTGGGCAGTGTGCTTGGGGGCTTGACATATGGATTCTCCATGATCTGGTGCCTCAGAGATACTATACCCTCCAAAAACCAGCACCGCCCACCTTGCAGACCCGCCAGCCGGCGACGCGCAGCTCCTTGCACAGGAAGCGGGTGTTGACGTCCTCCACCTTGGCGGCCAGGATCTCGTCCCCGACAATGATCACGCCCGCGGTCTCGCAGGCGTCCGACAGGACGGAGGCGTGGCGGGCGGGATCGCTACGGCCCGCCCGCTCCAGCCGCGTGTCGGGCAGCATGTAGGCCGGCGCGTAGCTCCCATCCTCCTTGAGCAGCGCGCTGGCGGTGCAGGGTGATGGCGGTGGAGATGGGTGGGGTTGGAAGTGGTCGGCGACAGGAGGGTGTGGCCTGCTCTCCTGGGTCAGGCCCCAATGCCCCTCAAGGGATGGTGGACCAGTGGGCAGGCCCAGGCTCACAGGGACCCTGGCTCCTGGCCGGGGATGCAGACGGCCACGGGCATGCCTGCAGCCACGTCAGCCCTCCCGTCAGCCCTTCGCCCCCATACAAAAACGCCCCTGCGACCCAAAACCAGCAAGCAGCTGGCGCACCTGTTGCGGTGGGTGTTGGACACCGCGCCCAGGGAGGTGTAGCCCTGGTCGTACAGCGAGCAGTAGGGCAGCCCCGCCTCGCGCAGGAAGGTCCAGACGTCGTGGTAGGTCCAGTGCAGCACGGGGTTGACCCGCATGAAGGGCGGCCAGCCGGCGGAGGAGGGGCAGAACGTCTCCTGGTCCACCGCGTTGGGGTCGCCCCTGCGCATTGATTCGAGGGGATGGGCCTGGAGGGGTGGTCAGCATGTCCCCCAGTCCTTGCCAGGCATCAGGGGCATTGACCCCGGACATCCTAGAGGGACACCCCCCGCGCGTGCACCCACTTGCGAGTGCCCAGCAGAATGGCCTTGACGGACGTGCTTTCAAGCAGGGCCTCCAGCCCCTGGCGGAAGCCGCCATGCAGGGACTTGAGCTGCAGGTTGTACTCTGCGCCAGTGGCGTAGGTGAAGGCCACAACCTCCCGGAAGTCCGCGGGGTTGTCGAAGAAGAAGGTGACCATGTCTGACAGGCCGCCCACTGCGCGAGTGGGAAGGGGCGGCAGGGGGTGCTCAGCGCTCAGCATTGTCAGCCCTGCCACCCACTGGCAGCCCCTCGGTCTCCAGGGGCCGAAACCCAGGCTCACCCTTTGCCTGTGCGGCGCCGGAGGGCGACGCCTGCTCGTGCATCGCCACCGCAGCTCTGATGATGTGCAGCAGGACCGTGGAATCCTTGCCACCATTGAAGGAGAAGGCGAGGGATGGCAGCCTGGAGGAGGTGGTGTGAGGTGTGTGAGTCGCAAGCTCCCTCTTCGTACATGAGGCACTCCTGAGTGACAATGGCCCCGCACCCCGCCGGTCTGCACCATGCCCAGGGCCTCACCCGTAGAGTGCTATGGCTCGCTCCACGACGCTGATGGCGCTCTCAAACTTGGCCTTCACACGATCATCGGTCAGCCTTGCCACTGCCTCCAGCACGTCCGCCATTGTGTGTTCCTCGACCTGAGGAGAGGTGGGTCCGGTCTGTAGCTAGATGGGCCCGATTCAGAAGGGTCAGGTCCAACCGTTGGCCCAGGAATCTGCGGGATTCCTTCGGAGTCCGGAATAAGGCACTGTCCGAGATTCTATCAACCTAATCGTTTGGTTTGCCTCTTTGGGCTGGCCTTGCTCATCCTTTCACCCATTTGTACGACACTCGCCTGCGCTCGACCGAAACTGCAACTCAAGCGCCCAAAGGTGCCGTGGGAGGCCCTCTGCCCCGAGTCCTCCCTCGGAACAGGTCTGTGTTCCCAACTTGATGAGTCACAAATCAGTCTCGTCCAATGGCGAGGGTGGGTTTTACAACGGTACACGAGTTTCCCAAACACTAGCCTGGGGCAGAGGTCCTGGAGTCCCAGGGGGTACGATGGGTGTCCGCAGGGGACTCTGAGGCGCAGCCGGACGGGGCCACGATGCACGTGGGAATCTGGCAGGGCAGCTGGGGTACAGACTGGGCTAGCCCACCCCCTGGGAGCGGGTGCTGTGCATGATGCGCAAGGTCCTGTCGCACAATCGCTCCGCGCGGGTCGGGTGAGCATTCCACATCGGAGTACTCTCGATAAATTTATGTTGAGCTCTCAATATTTCTATCAATGGCTTGTTTTCATCTGTGAACCAACTTCAAATTGAGATGGCGGTATGCAGCAGCTGGGGTACAGCCATCCTGCTCGCGCTGGCAACGTTGATCACTCCTGCCGTCGAGGCGGGACCCGATGTCCGCGGGGTGACGCCAGATCTCCTCCCCAGGTACAGCATCCCCTCGGATGCCGATTTCGAGTGTCTGGATGGGCGAGGCAGTGTGCCCGCCTCACGGATCAATGACGAATACTGCGACTGCACGGACGGCAGTGACGAGCCTGGTGGGTGCTGGGAGGGACCAGTACGAGGATGGGATTGCCTCGAGCCCATGCACAGGCTGTCTCGTCGATGCAATCGCAATGCAGTCGCTGCTCCCCTTGATTCCCTGGTCCCCACCGCGCGTGCGAGTGCAGGCACCTCCGCCTGCCCGGGGGGGTCCTTCTACTGTGCCAATGTGGGCTTCGAGCCCAGGACACTCAAGGCCGCATTGGTGGATGACGGAGTCTGTGGTGAGGCGATGCCCTGGTGGCCATGTTGCCTCGCTCAGCCGTTCGGAATCTGAATGCCTTGGGGAGGAGATCAGGTGTGTCTAGTACCAGTGACAATGGCAGTATGGAGGAAACCACACCCCATCCCGACTCGAGGTGCCCCCCCTTGGCCCCGCAGACTGCTGCGACGGCTCCGACGAGCCGGTAGGCTCCTGCGCAAACACCTGCCAAGCCCGCGGCCTGGCCAGGAAGGCCGAGCTGGCTGAGCGCTTGCACGCGGCGCGAGCCGGGCTGCAGCGCCGGGCGCAGTACGTGCAGGAGGCCGCATCCAAGCTGACCGGCTGGAAGGCCGAGCTGGCGCGTCTTCGGGACGATCTGTCGCGCCAGGAGGCTGAGCAAAATGCGGCAGACGGTGTGTGGGAATGGCTGGCCAGGGGGCGGGGGATGTTGCGAGCTACGACATGGAGGTGCCCAGGGTTCCAGGGACTGGCACTCACACCCTACAGAATGAACGTCATCGCGAGCACTGCCTTTGTATACTGCAAAGGACCTCCTTCACCCAGCTCCCAAAGTTTTCACTCTTTCCTCCATCGCAAACGTCCCCCAAGCAGCCCTGAGGGACTCCCTTCAGGCCAAGGAGGATGAGCTGAAGGCTGCCGCGGAGGCTGCCGAGAAGGCGCCTGCCTCAGGAGGGGACACCAACAAGGAGGATCAGGGAAGCACCGGGACCCCCGACGCCGACCAGGCTGCTCCAGAGGCCATCTCTGCCGATGAAGTGGTGGCGGCGGACCAAGTCCATGAACATGTGCTGCTGCCGGAGGAGGTAAGGATCGAGGGTGAGAGCCCGCTGTCAGCTTGGCTTGGAGGAACAACGCGGACGCGCCCCACGTGAGTGTCCTGGCTGCTGCAGAGTGTGACCTAGTTTGGTTTCTCGGTCCTTCGGCGCTGCAGATGGCTGAGGCTCAAGGAGACGGCACCGCTCAGCCTGCAACACAGACAGACAAGGACATGGCTGCTGCAGCGGCCACGGTCTCCGTCCCTCCTGGAGTCCTGGGCAGGGCAAAGACGGGTGGGATTGGTGCAGGGCAATGGCTATGGAAGGAATGTTTGGCAGCTGGCTGGGTGCGGGTGTGTGGGCGAGCTGCGCATCACCAAGGTGCTTGGTCGCGAGCCGGGTTTCCCTGGCATGATGTCCATCTTCGGCCAGGAGTGTTCCAAGGCCCACTCCTCGCGTTGTTCACAGCCCTGGCTGACGTGTGGAGCGCCGCACTGTCCCTGCTCCCAGGCTCCCGGAGCCGCTCTGCCCCGGCCGTGCTAATGAGCAAGGTTTCAGATGCAGGTGAGGAATCTGATTCAAAGGGGAGGTTTGGAAGATGGTATTGCAGGAACCTTGCTTGTTCCCTGTGGTTGTCAGCTTGCAGGGAAAGCCTTGAATCCCAAAATTTGCCTGGTCCCAGGAGTGCAAACTGACAATCAAACTTCCCGCCCGGGCCTACACTGGCCGCCCACTTGGACCCCACAATAGCGTTGCATTCTCGCATTCCATCCCACACCACCCCTTCCTGTGCCCAGTCCTGGCCCAGCTGAAGGCCGACTTGGACGCAGCCAAGTCCCCCCTCTCCCACGCGCGCACCGCGGCGTCGGCCGCGGCGACGGCCGCGCGGGAGACCAAGAAGGCCATCGCCGAGCTGGAGACCAAGCTGGAGAACACCGGGAAGGGCGCCTATGGCGAGGACAGCGCCTGGGCGGCGCTGGACGGCCGCTGCTTCTCGGCGCAGGTGGACAAGTACACCTACGAGCTCTGCCCCTTTGGCGCCGCCAAGCAGGTGGAGGGCAGCGGCGGCGGCACAAACCTGGGCCGCTGGGAGGGCCTCCTGGACGACGGGGCGCGCCTCGCTTTCCAGCGCGGCCAGCAGTGCTGGAACGGGCCGGCGCGCAGCCTGCAGGTGCTGGTGCCTGATGGTCGCAGAGCTGGCTCACGTGATGTTGGGTCTGGGGACAGGGAAGGGGTGGTTGTGCACCGTATCCATGGGGACATCCAGCACATTGCGGACATTGCCCGTCCTCCAATGAGCCTGCACACGCCAGCCCGGCCCGCAGTCAGCCTGCCGCCGATCAGCTTCCCGCCCAGCAATCACAGCAATGTCTCCCCACTGCTCCTGCAGGCGACGACGCTCTGCGGCCCGACCGAGCGCCTGTTTGACGTCAGCGAGCCCTCCCGCTGCGAATACGCCGCCAGGTTCGAGACCCCCGCGGCCTGCCGCGCCGCCGACGTCGCCGCCCTAGAGCGCGAGCTGGCACGGTATGGGGGGGCGCCAGTGCATGAAGAGCTCTGAGGGGTTTATGCGCGCCTCTCACTGCAGCTCTCCCCGCTGTGCCAGGTGTGTGCGTTGCAGTCTTTGTATGTACAGGGCCCAGTTCTCAGACACAGGGGCGCGTGATGGGATCATAATTTAGGCAGCGTCGAAAGGGGGAGGCCGTGGACATGCGTAGGCATGGCTTGAGGCGCTGTACAACAAGTGTGCTGCGTGGGCTGTCTCTCAAAAACTTGATGTACAGGACAGGCCCCATGTACTCAGGCTGCGCCAAGGGCACGCGGAGGTGCGCTCACTGCCAGGGACAGGGCCGCGACGGGTTCGACGGCCGGGACCTGCACGGCAGCGGCGAGGGCCTCGGAGCCGTCCCGCCCACCGCAGATGGCCAGGGGCGTTGCGCCAAAGTTGACAGAGACGCGAGCGGGGGTTGGCTGGGAGGCGTGGGTGTACAGGGAGACAGCGGGGTAGTAGGTCGCCAGAGGGATGCCGGAGAAGGCCTCCCCCTGGGCCTCGCCATTCTTGAAAAAGAAGACCGACCCGGACGCGGATGCCACAGCCTCCTCGCCTGCCTCTGAGCGAGAGGGAGGATGGGGAAGGGATCGCTTGAGGGATTGGTGGTGCTGGATCGAGAAGTTTCTGGCCCCAAACATGACACTGCTTCAAGCAAGACAGGACCGAAATCATGTGCGCTCAGATTCTATGGGTGTGAGATCAGTCATGTCTCTGCACATATGTGCAGATCGACTGCTCGAGGAATGTTCTGTAATCATTGCGCGGCGAACATACGGGGCATGCAGGGCGATGCTGACCGCCGCAACGTTGCAGGCAGCCCGGCTGCACACCTGTCCTGGAGGCCGGCGGGGGGGGGAGGACGAGCAGGCACCCAATCACGTCTCGCTCCCCCCAGGCTGAGCCATAGTCGGCTCTGACCCCGGCATGCACCTGGCGGTGGTTGAGGGGGAGGAGCGAGGAGTTGAGGCATGGTCAATATTTGTGCTTGACCCCTGGAGGAAGACGCAGCGGATACACACGAGAACCCCTTCCACGCCCATGGGCACCGCGGCAGATCGTTCCACACTTTTCAGCCTCGGCTATGACACACGCAGCATACCTTGGACCCTTCCAGGGAGCGGTAGGAGTAGCCCTTGGCATCCCCACCCACAGGCCCCTGGAGTTCAGCCACAGCAGTGGCCCATCCGATTCGGGCTGCGCCGGTCTGACCGAGGGACTCCACGGTCACTTCATAGTACCATGCCCCAGAGCTCACGCCATGTGTGGCACGCACGGTACGGTAGCCGCGGGAGCTAGAGAGGGTGAGGTCGTTGGTGATGCTGGTTTGGGGAGCTCGATCTGTGGGTGACAGCTTCACAGGGGCTGGGAGGGCCGGCTTCACATCTTCGCCAGGAAGAGCACAGGTCCCCGGAGACATGCCATCACTCTCTCCGCTTGTTCTTTGCTTCTTGCTCCGCCGGAAGGGTGCAGCCAGGGCGCTGCCTGCGCAGGACAGGGGTGCGTGGGCTGTTGGTGATGGCACGGGCGTGGGACGACAGATGCCAGCCTCCATGCATTCATTGGCCCATACATCTCATACCTGCGTCTACGTATGGCTTGTTTTCCTCCACCATCTCGTCAAAGGGCGAGCATCAGCATCTTGGTGGTCAAGCAAAAGGTGACTGCTCAGTACTAGCTAGGAGCTAAAGGGATGAGAACCCCATCGGATCAAATGATCGCTCACATCAAGTAAAACTGAATGATTTCGCAATGTAAGAATTCTGTCGAGCGCAGGGATTCTAGCCGACTCTTTGTATCGCAGCGGCGGTGCCCAACTCCCGCCCCAAGCATATAAAAATCGGCGGGAAACAGCATCAAGTGGAAGTGTCGTGTTTCTACTGAAACTGGAAAAGCGGTGATGATTTGCATTCCCAGAAGTTGTGGGATGGAGGATATTAGCAAATCATATAGAGGACTTGATCTGTCAAGCTCCCACAGGACAGGAACCAGACAAAGACAGAGGGCTTCTCGCCAATCCTGTAGAACTTCTCTTTTGAGCAGAGTGGGTTATAGGTTGTGCCATCTTGTATCTCCTAGTTTTGGGAAGTTGGTGACTGAGGCCTACTGGTTCATCCCCCGCTGGGCACCCTGAGCGTCACAGGGTATTCCACTCAGCACCTTCATCAAGTAAGCTTTATCTGGAATCGGTCAGTATCACAATCCCTGTTCGTTCCTGAACGGCGCACCGCGCAGCAACATGCAACAAAACTGCAAAACAGTTCGTCACGGGGACTTCCCACGTGGTCACCCACCGCAGTACTATTCCCGCCCAATCCAGCTTAATTACCGAGGTCTAATGGGATCGGCTGTGTTCTGGATGGTATGAACGAACCATGGGGAGGGAAGGAGATAATTCATATATGTACCGCACTTGGGTAAATATCCAACTCCAAAATGGGCTGCAGGACTTGATATGCTCTTGCTCAAACCGGGCTTGCAGCTCTATCAACCCAGAGTCACAGTGCTGGACCGGTGCAACCGTGATGTATAGCAGCGTGCAGGTTCCTTGGTTGGCAGCAGAAGCCTTTGTGTTCTCTGACTATTGCCCATCGCCCAGGGCTCTTGTTGGTCCTTTCTCCTGATCCTCTGTGCCTTTACAGCACACATTTCTGCCGGGTCCGATATTGTGGCATGTTTTACATGGGACAGAGAGGCTGTTCCTTCTGCACTCAGCAACAGTGCTGCCACACCATGTGCTCAGGAATCACTCGTCGCCACTGACAGACGCTGCTCCCTCGCTTTCCTCCTTCACAACGCGCACCAGGCTGTTGTAGTGCTCGCCCAGGCCATAGGCATGGTGCAGGTAACATATCTGCAGTGCTGGGCCTGCATGGAACGGGCTTGAATGAGTTTGACATATCAAGCATAGGAGAGTGTCTCGTAGGTCGTTGCCCAAGGTGCAACCAGGCATGCACAGATGCCCATCATTCGACCTTCAACATTGATGCTTTTCGTCCCCTACAAATGAAACCTCTCTGCTTTCCAAGCTCCAATCAAAAGCTCCTCAGCTCAACTACCTGGGTGTTCGTCGCCCAACAGCTGTGGTGCGGCAGCAGCAGCCCACACCTTGATCGGCTTGCCCAGGGCTTGTGACAGGGCCTGTAGCTCCAGGTGGCCGCCCCAGGCCGCTGTGCTTTCCACCTCCTTGCAGTAGGCCTCAAACACCTCCCCATCCTCCACAGGCCCGGTTACATCATCCTGAACGGGGTGTGTTGAGTGCGAATCGTGAACTCGTTGAGCACATCACATGGGAATAAGGTCGGCAATGCTAGCAGGGGTGACACACTTTGTTTGATGGCCACAGATCACCCCAACATGAAACAGAGTGTTTGCGACGTGAGCAGCGCACAGCACCGAGGGTCCCATGCCAGGCCAGCACGAGGCTCTCAACCCACCGAGCCAACTTTTCACACAGACTCACCTCGGCAATGTATGGACTGAAGTCATTGGCATGCGTTCGCATGTGCTCAGCAGCCAGGCGCCGCAGCTCCTGGAAGGATGCCGCGCCACTCCCGTCCTGGAGGTCCAGTTGGTGCTCTGCAGGGGAGCGGCGGGGAGGAGAGGGGTGAGTAAGCTCCCGGGTGATGCATGAGAGATGCATTGCCTGGGGCTCCGTCTCCCAAAGGTGTAGACCGGAAGGAGTAGAACGCCTGGCGCTCCATCATGCCAGGCCCCGATTGAATCAGAGGCTGCTCAAGCAGGGCCGGCCACACAGGGCGAGCACAAAGCTTGCAGGCTGGGCACAACTGATACAGCGCTTCCAGACACCAACAGCCTGCATGCCGCCACCCACCCAGCGCGCGGTAGAGGCAGTGCCCGTCGGGCGCGATCTCGTGGATGGCCAGGCCCAGGGGGCCCAGCGTGCTGCTCATCGCCTCCTCCTCCTGCACCCTGAGGCTGTCGTCTGCGTCCGCCAGCTCAGCGGCGATGCGCGCCTCGCGCTCCGCCTGGGCAGGACATGGGGAGTGGGGGGAGGGGCGTTGCCTGGAAACGCAATGCCAAGCATGGCTCCTCCTCGGGCCCTGCCTGAGGCTGTGTCACAGAACCCCCCAACAATCATCCATCAGAGCGTATGGCCTCAGTTCATCCGCCTGGGCCGCCATTTCGTGGGTACGGCCCCGATGCGAATGCCCATGCACGCCTGGACATGCATTGGGTGGACTAGTACATGAAAAAATGACCAAGTGCCATACCTCTGCTGCAGCCCGCTGCTGCCTCTTCCGCTGGGCCTTGGTCGGCTTCAGCGCCTCGCCGCCAGGCGGCGCGGCGCCGGGCCCCAGCGCCAGCGATTCCATGCCCTGGCTCATGCTTTCTTCCTCTGCCCGGGCCATGGCCTCCAGATCTTGCTGGTGGGCGGCGTCCAAGGCCTGCTGCAGGGCCGCGGCCTCTTCCCGTCCTTTCTTCCCGAGCCGCTTCACTTGCTCCTTGAGCGACTTTGCTTCCTGACACCCGGGGAATGGGGGGTGTGCAGCAGCGGATGAGATGCTGGCTGTGCGGTGTGTAGAGGAGGGCAATACGCGCAGAGGAAGACCACGAGGGTGTATGCATTCTGATACCATAAGAGTTGTGCTGGCTCCCCTGCCACTGAGCTGCGGCAATCCACCACAAACGCAATCGCTCCGCCTCACCCGCTTGTGCCGCTGCAGCATCTTCCCCCGCGTCTCGCCTCCACAGCTCACGGAGGGTCTCTCCCCAACCGACTCCTCTGGCCCGTCGTCCACAAGGAAGGCGCTCGCCTTTGCGCTGGTGGTGGACGTCGACTCCTCCTTCTGGGTGGTCCCTGGGGTACTAGTAGCGGGATGCGCCTCCTCTGGACCAGTATCCTGCTCTGGCGGGCTGACCTCCTCCTTCTGGCGCATCTGTGCCTTCATGAAACCCGCCTTGCCTCCTCCCTTGCGTCCCATAGCTGCTCAGGGTCTGGTGGGCAGGTGCACCTTCCCAATGTTCCGCCTCGACTGTATTTCCAAGAGCTCTACAGTGAAGATGTATCAAGAAGGGGATCGCATTTAAGAGGTTCTCTAAGAAGGAATTGCCCCTCGAGACCCGAGGAGCGCGGAAGTGTGCGAGGCGCGATTCCGCGCTGCGCATGCGGTCGGACATGAACACGGGATGTCGAGAGCAAGCATGCACTCGACACACTTGCCTCCTCACTGCGAGAGTGCCCTGACCAGCACTGGCTAACCAACTGAATTTCACAAGCTCGCCATAATCTGGTGCAAGTGTCAGAGTTCGAGTGTAGCACGATTGTCCTCCCCGAAGGTGGCACGCATTGTTTTACCACAGCTGTGCAGGCTCTTGCCTGGCCAATATCCTCTGTCCTCTCTATAGCTGAGCTCGTCAGCATGACGGACCTGGATGCAGAGCTCGCCAACTTTGAGGCGGAGCTGGCCAGCATCGCGGCTGAAACACCCCAGGTGGGCTAGCTGATTGCAGGCCTGAGCTGCCATCCGTCCACATGCCCCCCGAGGTGCTGTTGTCACGATATCTGGGCGACTTTTTCATGTTCCATCCCCCGACCCTTTCCCCCTGGATGCTGCCGCGCAGGAGGAGGCACAGGAACCCAGTCGTCCTCACCCCGCGCCGAGGCCCGCACTGCCTCCACCCCCCCCTCGGCCCCCGCCCGCCGCCCTCCATCGCCCTGCACAGCTGGCAGCCCCCCCGATGCCGGCAGGTGCGCCACCCCTGCGCCCCGCCATCCCCCCCCCCTCCCCGGACCCCTCCCCCCGGTGCCGCCTCCTCCTTCCCATGCGCCACCCCCCCTCGCGCCGCCTCCAACCATGCCGGCCGACCTGCCCCGCCCGCCTCCCCCCGCCCCACCAAAAATTCCCGCGGGGATGGCGCCCCCCATCCCCGCAGCCCACCCGAGCTACTCTGCGGAGCCGTACACCGCGCCCAAGGGCATGGCCCCCCCCCTGGCAGCGCCACCCAGGGCGGCGCCCTCCTTCTACGGCGCCGCGGCCGCGGCCGGGATGCCGGCAGTGGAGGTCCCGGGCGAGACCAAGAAGGAGAAGCCGGCCCTGCTGCGCGAGGCGGCAGGCAAGAGGTGGGTGGACACGACTCTGCTGGAATGGCCCGAGAACGACTTTAGGATATTTGTCGGCAACCTCGGGAACGAGGTGCGTTGGCGTGGTGGGTGGAGGGAGGCGCGGCGCTGCAGAGCCTGGCTGCTCGGCTGGACCAGGGCATGCAAGACCGTGCATGAGAACTCCAAACCCGGGCGGCGTGAAAGGTATGGGGACCCTTGATCGGGGCCTATTCGGCCACGACGCGGCTGAGCCATTCTTTCATAATCCCTCTGCGCATGTTGGACCGCAGAACCATCACCCCCGCCCACCTGTGACCCCTGCCTCCAGGTGAACGACACGGTCCTGATGGCTGCCTTCCAGAACTACACGTCCTTCAACAAGGCTAAAGTCGCGCGGAATGGATACAACAAAAAGTCCAAGGGGTACGGCTTCGTCAGCTTCCAGGACCCCATCGAGGGCGCGCGCGTGCTCAAGGAGATGCAGGGGGCCTACATAGGTAAGCGGGCGGTGATCCAGGGCGGGGGTTTAAGCGTGGGTGTTTGAGGAGGTGACAGCCTTGCGGACAGGTGGAGTGCATGGGCTGTGGGGTGCATCGAGCAGGGCAGCACGTGTTGCCTCCTGCGCATGGTGGATGCCTGGCACGGGGGAGGCTCTCTGCCTTGTGGTGCAGGCTCCACAACATGGCCCCTCCGCTCACACTCGCCGCCGCACAACCCCCCAGGCAACCGGCCGGTGCAACTGAAGAAGAGCACGTGGGATGACCGCCAGGTAAAGGACAAGACGGGCAAGCCCATCAAGCGGCTGGTGGAGGAGAAGGCCAAGAAGCCGGACAAGAGGGCACGGGCGGGGGCCTCGTTTGAGGCTGGGGTGGGGCCCCCGGTGCAGCAAGCATTCTACACCCGGCGGTAGTCCACGGCCTGCAGCGAGGGCTAACCTTGAGCGCCAGCCCGGCAGGGTGTGCTTCTGCTTATACTCTGGCTTTCCACGTATCTGGGAACAAATACCTAACTACAGAACAGCCCAGACACCAGATGATGGCTGGGCTCTGGACAGTGCATTTTATCGGGGAGAGGAAGGGCACGATGGCGGACAGGCCATTAGGTGCAGCCCTTGCCACTGTGCGGGGCAGTGCTGGACAGGGGGGAATCCAAGATGAAACAGAGCTGCGCGCAGCCCCGCTGGTCAGACGGAACTGTCACTGGTCATGACGATGCCTGCGTGGAGCAGGCCGAAGCAGGTGGCCCCGAAGAAGAGGGCGTGCTGGGTCTTGGGCGCAACCCTCCCCTTCAGCACGTGCCGCATGGTGTACATGATGGGTGCCCACACGATGGGGCTCAGCATTGCGTAGTTTGGGGTCCTCCTCCGATGCTCTGCGGCCAGGGGCTTGACGTTGAAGAGCTCGTCCTCCGCCACCCCCATGCCTGCTCTATGTAGACCGTGTGCCAAAGGCGACTGCTAACGGGATCGTGCTGCCCAATGTAAATCCGTTTGTGACAGGAATTGGAGTGTATTGTCGTTGGTCTAAAGGAGCATCTTCGATTTCGCTGACTACACTAGTAACACCACGTGCGACGAGGGCGCGCCCTGGGCGACGAGCACGGCTTTCGGCAAGATATGATACACCGCGTGCTCGACCATTAAGCAGGGCACATGGCAAACCCTTGCGAATGTAGCTTTAACTATAGCAACGTATAAGAAGCTGTCCTCAATCGTGCGGGCCTCCGGACCCTTGCGTTCCAAGACCATGTCGGCACAGACCCTCACCTGCGGGGTGCGCCCCGCCCCCCCGTGCAACGGTCGCAGGCAGGCACCGCGTGCCTCGCCCCGCGCCTTCCGCTGCCATGCCGCTGCAGCTCCCGCGGTGGGTACGAGCCTGCGTGATCGGCAGGCTAGGGCTTTTGCCCCATGGTGTGCTCAGGGGAGCAGGCGCACCCCGATCCGTCGCCCTCCTACCTACAGCCGACCGTCGACCCTGGCGCAGGTATCCCCTGCCCCTTCCTCCTCCAAGGCCACGGAGCAGGTCCGCGTGGCCGTGCTGGGCGCCAGTGGGTACACCGGGGAGGAGGTGGTCCGGCTGCTGTCCCAGCACCCCCACTTCACCATCACCGCCATGACGGGGAACCGTGAGGCCGGCAAGGTGGGCGTGCGGCGTGTGGAGGGGTATCAGGGGAACACAGGATGGCCGACGGGAGGCCTGCGCAGCTGTCAATGTCCCGGGGGGGGGCTCTTGTTTGGCTGCGCTGGGCCCGCCTTTCCTGTGGCCTGTGCTGCCCCAGTGCACCCCCTTCCCCCTTCCCACCCCCCCCACAGGAGTTCAGCGAGGTGTTCCCCCATCTGCGCACCGCGCCCGCCGTCCCGCGCCTGACCAAGATCGAGGACGTGGCGTGGGAGGGCGTGGACGCGGCCTTCTGCTGCCTGCCCCACGGCACAACACAGGAGGTGGTGGCGGGCCTGCCTCGCCACGTCAAGGTGGTGGACCTGTCGGCCGACTTCCGCCTGCGCGATCCTGCCCTCTACGCCGAGTGGTACGGCGGCGAGCACCGCGCGGTGGCGCTGCAGGGCGAGGTGGCCTATGGCCTGACCGAGCTGCACCGGGAGGCGGTGCGCAGCGCGCGCGTCGTGGCCAACCCAGGCTGCTACCCGACCTCCGTGCAGCTGCCGCTGGTGCCGCTGCTGGCCGCGGGGCTCATCCTGCCCCGGGACATCATCATCGACGCCAAGTCGGGCGTGAGCGGCGCGGGGCGCAGCGCCAAGGTTAACCTGCTCTACACCGAGGCCACGGAGGGCATGAACGCCTATGGCGTCGGCAAGCACCGCCACATGCCCGAGATCGAGCAGGTGGGGGGAGGGGGGAGGGGGAGGGGGAGGGAAAGGGTGCAGAGCAGGGGGTGTGAAGGCAAGTACCTCTCAAAAGGGCTGTGTCAGCCAAAGACTCGTGGGTGCAATGTTCAAGGGCCAGGATGTTGGAGACATCTCGGTACCAGGATGCCTAGCTGAGCACAGCTGTGATGCACAATCGCGCGCGCATGCCTGCCGGCATGCATGGATGGTGACCGCGCAGTTCGGTCAACCTGTCTGCAGAAAGTATCGCCCCATGCAGCCCATCATCCCCGCTCCATTTCCCGACTCCCACCCACCTTTCCAAAGGGGCTGACTGACGCGGCGGGGGAGCAGGTCACGGTATCCTTCACCCCCCACCTCATCCCCATGACACGCGGCATGGAGAGCGACTGCTATGTGCGCCTCGCCGACGGCGTGTCGGTGGAGGACCTCCGCGCCGCCCTGGAGGTGAGGGGAGAGGGGGAAGAAGGGCAGGGCGAAAGAGACGAGTGGCTGCCAATGCGTGCGGTGCAGTGGCTGCCAGCCCCAACTCGTCCTTGCTTACCATGAGATGTTGGTGTTCTGAGTTCAACTCCAGCGCATGTCTGCAACCCTTGTTGCAAGTGTGCTCACAAGCAGCAGCTCCTGTGGCGGAGGATGGCCGTCACATCCCTCCCCAACAACCAGTGCCACACCTACCCACTGCCACACCACAACCCTACCCTCCCAAATCCCGGCGACGCAGACCAAGTACGCCAACGAGCCGTTCGTGCATGTGCTGCCGGCGGGCATCGTGCCACAGACGCATCACGTGCGGGGGACCAACTACAACCACATCCAGGTGTTCAAGGACAGGCAGAGCGGCCGCGCCATCGTCATCTCGGGTGAGGGAGAAGTGGTGGCTTCTGGGGAGGTGAGGATGTTCCTCTGGCATGGCACCTTCAGTTTACATCTCTTGAAATCCTTTGGACACCTGTTGCCTGCGGTGGAGGTGCGAGATCTGGCAAATCCCAGTAGTAGGGCATGTGTTTGGTGCTGATGTGTCCATTCTCCCCTTGGCCAACCTCGAAGTGATCGACAACCTGGTCAAGGGCGCGTCGGGCCAGGCCATCCAGAACCTGAACATCATGTGTGGGATGCCCGAGACGACGGGGCTGCTGCAGCAGGCACTCTTCCCTTGAACATTATTCATGTGCATTGAGCTGTGTACCCTCGACTGAGTTGCACGATGTGAGCCTGGCCGCGAACCTGGTGCTGAGGTTCCACAGGTAGAAGGGCAAGGCGTGTGCTTGTGATTGCTTGGGCCGAGGGGGCAGGCCAGGGAGGGGCAGCACGACAAGTCGGGGGCCAAGGATGCAGGGCAAGGGGGGAGATTCTGCACACCTTCCTGCTGCAGCACCGCGCAACGCAACGTCAGGCTCAATGCAAGGCTGTTCGACAGACGAGAAACCGCAATCAGAGTTTGGGGGAGAACGGACTCGCCGGCTTGTTGTCCAGTCATCCAAGTGGAAGAGGTTCAGAGCTCGTCGTGCGCAGCAGCGGTCGCCGCGCTCGCTGCATCGGCGCTTGGCTTGCAGCCCAGGGCCTCGGCGGCGCGCCAGACCTCGATGGACTTGGCCTCCAGCAGGGCCAGGTGGTCGTCCCGCCCCTCGGTCAGCGTGCGCAGCACGCCCAGCGTGGCCTCGGCATGCTGCTGCAGGTCGCACAGCGTCTTGCGGCTGTACCCGGCGCGGATCATGAGGGCGGTCATGTCTGACAGCGCGGAGGTCATGGCGGAGAGCGCGGCGGCGGGCTCCAGGGAGCCCCCGTCCCTGCCCAGGGGCAGGGGGCCGGCCTCGCCCTCAGCGTCGGCGTCGGCCGCCGCCCCCTCCCCCGCCAGCAGCCGCGCGGCGGCGTCCTGGAAGATGATGAGCGCCGCGCGCGCGTGCGCCACGCCCTCTTTTCCTCGGTCCTGGGCCTCCAGGGCCTGCGCCCAGGCCGCCTGGAGCCAGGGGTCGTGGGCGTCCACCTTCTGCACGCTGTACAGCGGAGGGGGGGCGATTGCTGTGCTCATAGCGTGACGACAGGGCCCGGGGATTGCATGGATCACACACATGCAACCCATGAGCACCCAGCTCTTCGCCACAGGCAGCCCGACCCACGCACGCACGCGTTGAGCAGCTTGGCGTGGAATGGCTGTACATTGGAGGCAAAGGGCTCCCCAAACACCTTCTTGAGGGGGAAGTGGCACTGCAGCGGCGCGGCCTGGGGTCGATGAGAGGGGAGGAAAGGGTGACGAGGAGCGTGTGTGACATGGAGCGCATCGATGCAGTCCCTGGGCAAAGTGCCACGATGCAGGTTGAAGACGAGTCGCTCCTCCTGCCACAAGAGACCACCTTGTCGAGGTACTTGTACATGGCCGCCTTGACGGTGGGGGAGGTGAGATTGCCCCCCTCTGCGGCGATGGCCTCCATGACTGGGAAGCGAGTGCCCATGCACTCCACCAGCCTCTCCAGCCCCTCCTCTGAGGCGGGCTGGCGGATGCGGTGGGTCTCGTCGGGCGCGGCAGACACCGCCTCCAGTTGGTCCAGCTTCATCATGGCCCTAAAGGGGGTTATGAGGGTTTTCAAAAGCGCAGCTGGGGAATAGATGCTCAGGAGTGGCCTGGAGATATGGACATGAAAGGCAGGTTTGCTGACGCGCTGCAGATCCTTACCACCCCCCCTCGACCGCATGTACACAGAGCTCCACGCACTTCATGATCAGACGCTCGGCGCGCTTCCCACTCTCGTCCAGCTGGTTGGTGGCCACCAGGGTCAAGGCGGCCGACTCCCACGCCACCGCCGCCTGTGCAGAGGGTTTTAGCGAGGCATGCTCCAGGTGGGAAAGTCCTCCAGCCAGGCCTGCCCATCCCCTCACTCGTCATGCTTTTCACCCACAACCACCCGCAGACTTGCCTCCTCAATGCGCTGGACCTCGGGATGGACCAGGACCTGGGCCCACTGGTCCATGGACTGCACCCAGTCGCGCTGAGTCAGCGACTCGTCCATCCAGTTCACGTACACCTGAGTGTGTGTTGGGGGGGGGCAAAAGGAGGTTTTGAAGCGATGAGAAATCACAAGCTGCGAGGCCATGGACATAGTGAGGAGTTTTGACCCAGGTGAGCTACTATGTAATACAGCATGATTCTTGACACTGGCAGCGGCGAGTGACAATCAGGTCCGCACCTTGTTGAGGTCGCTGAGGGCGTCGACGGCGGTGTCGGGGCAGGACAGCGCGGCGGTGAGCTCCTGGATGCCCTCGCTCATCTGCATCTTCCTGCATCGAGGCATGCGGAGGGGATATGCTCTTCTGTGCCCTCCTGCGACTGTGCCTGAGTGGCTGCTTGGGGTCACCCCAGGAAAATCATGGGGAGAGTGCAGTCAGAGCACTGCATTGCTCCCTGTCTGCAAGTCCCTTGGGACCATGAGTGAGACTGTGAGCCGACCAGCCATACTTCATTCCAAGCCCCATACAACCGACCCCCATTGAACCTCGTGTCCTTCGCTCATAACCCCTGCAGCCACCCTCTCACCCCATCAGCGCGATGCCGCGGTGGTAGTGAGGGTCGCAGTACTGCGGCACCACATCCAGTGCCCGGTCCAGGAGCACCAGGGAGACGTCCCAGGCCTCGGAGCGGCGGGAAAGGATGGCCGTGTTCAGGAGGACCTTGGCACTGTTGGGGCAGACCTGCGCAGGATGGTGGCAGCGCAAGGGCCAAGGGAGGGGCTGGTTTGCAAGTTGGCTGGCACTGTGAGGTAGGCACACCGGCAGTCCTCTTCTGTAGTGCATGGGCCTCCCTGCACCCTCAAGCCGCCCTACCTTAAGCGCCGAGCCGAAGAGGGAGGCGTCTGACTCCCAGTCGCGATTGCGCTGCAGGGTCCTTCGCCCGCCCAGGGCCAGGAGGGAGGCCAGAATGAGGGCTGAGAAGGCCCTGCGGACGCGGGTGGACCGCGGCCCAGAGAGCCCGGCCGTTAGCTGCTCAGCGACGAGGAAGGCCAGGCCCACTGCAAGTACTGGGGTGATGGATTGGTCAAGGCCCGTCCTCAATAGCTGCAGGGTGCTCCATGGCATACAGTCTGGTTGACCCTCCCCCCCTTGCCACCTGGCCTTGCCTGAGGGCATGAGGAGGAGCCGCTCCGCGAGGAAGGTGCCGACGTAGAAGAACAGGTTTGCGGCTGGCAGCATGGGCCCCACGATCAGCCCGGCCGTCACAAACAGGCGCCAGCGCGCTGTGTACAGGGCCGAGCCGGGGGCCGCGCCCGGCGCCACGATCAGCTGGATCTTGGCGTCCACGCCTGCCTCCTCGGCGGTTGAAGTGCTGCTGGGTGTCGCGGGGAGCCGCGCCCCTGTGCCGCTCGCCAGCACCCGCCTCCAGTCCGACATGAGGCTCCATGGTTTGGCGGCCAGGGCGGTGGCCAGGAGCCAGGCGTAGAGGAGGAGGGAGAGGGCGTTGCGCGGGTCCCACATTGACTTCACGATGGCGACGCAGGAGAAGGACCAGTCCGCCGACATCTTATGAGAAGGGGGGGGGAAGTGGCAGAAGGGTGATGTTTGGGAGCACACAAAGCAATCGACAATGCATGATTGGATAGACACCGACATGCCTTCTGCATCATCTGTTACACTTGCCACCAAGCGTGCAAAGGGAGGATGTGCTGCTGCCATACCCCGCCAAATTTCATCTGAACAAGGCCTGCCCTGCGTCGCGTCACCTGGACAGGCAGTATGAGCTGGCGAGCATAGAGGGCGTGCAGGTACAGCGTGGTCAGGACCCTTGCCAGGCGACTGGGGATGAAGGGGATGGGGTTCTCCACCTGTTGAGCGTTGGTGATCGGGTGGCCATTAGAGATGTGGTGAGGGTGGGCAGGGACTACCGATTTCATCCCTCAAGCAGGCGGCCTGGCGTCGCATGAGATCCCCCGATGATCCCCTGATCTGTGCAGCAAGCCGAAATTGGTCCGAGGGCATGCCCCCCGCCCTCAACATTCACGTCTACACGACTCACAATGCGGTAGTTGCGGACCAGGTGGTCACCTGCCAGGGCTGCCCTCAGCCCAACGTAGGCGGCCACGGCGAGGGCAAGGACTCCCAGGAGGGCACCCCTGTGCATTCGGGGGTCCGAAGGGGAGCGTGGAGGGAGCAGCAGCTCCAGGCAAGCGATCGCACCGAACTGGGTATTTAGGGGAGGACAGGGATACTTTAGTATTGAGGAGCGAGCAAGGGCGCTCATGGTGGCAGCTCAACAGCGACATGTATGTGGGCCAGCAACTGCAGAGCGGACGGATGGCGGCCCACTCATTTGTCCATCAGTGTGCACCAACCAGGATTGGGAGCAATGCGACTGATACCCCACCGACTCACCACGGTGACGCCCGTCTCCTTGGACAGCGCTGCCAGCCAGCCCAGCCCCATCACGCCGGCCAGCGCGGTCCAGCGCACGATGCCCCGCCCGGCGCGGGCGGCGGAGAGGTACAGGGCGAGTGCCGCCAGCGCCAGGGAGGCGGCAAGCAGTTCGGCGGCGCCCACCACGCCCGCCACCGCCTCGGTGTGGATGGGGTGGGCCGCGAACAGCGCCGCTGCGACGCCGGCGAATACGGTGGGGGATCCCTGGAGGGGGCTGGGGGTCAGCTGTCGCGCCAGCCTGGGACGTTGGGTGGTGGAGGCTTTGGACGAGGAGACAGGGGCGCATGCTGCTCATGTAATACCTGGCAGACGACAGCCCAATACTGTACTTTGAGAACGAATCCAGGTCAAGCGCACACGCACCAGTAGACTTGGGCGGTGAGCACCCCATGCAGTGCCGCGTTTGCAGCGTGGAAGGGTCGTGGGTCGGGCCCAGTGCCTGGGTCTGCCACAAGTTCATGGTGGAGCACGGGAGGAGTGGTGGGAGCAAGGTTGATGCGTTGAGGGGCCAGACTCTCACTGGAGCGCTGAACGATGTCAGCCTGGATGCCAATCGTGTCGACAAGCAGCGGGGTGACATGTTCCACTACAGCAACCAGACCTCATCAAGCCCCCTTTCAATCAGGCACGCAGCACCAGAAGCGTCCAAACTCCACGCCACCCACCGTCCTCTTCAGTCTCCCAGGGCAGCCACTCGCCCCCGAGGATATTCAGGACCCGGAAGAAGAGGGTGGTGACGGGGCGGTACGACTTGTGACTCGTAGACGACCGCAAGTCCTGGCCCCTGGAGAGGTGTGAGGAAACGAATGAACCGTGTCTAGGCAATGCCACTGTGCACATATGACCGGAAGCATGCCGCATTCCTCTACAGACAGGATTTAAGGCACACAATGCACCCCGGCAGATAGGGCTTAAACACTACGGCTCCTCTTTGTGCAATGCCATAATCAATGTACCAGAAATCGTGAATGAATACTGCGGATAGCGGCCCTCCCCCTGTGACATCGTTGTTTTTCACCTGTGCGGTGTGGGTGGGAGGGTGCCGGTGAGCTTCATGAACGACCGGCTGCATGAACAGCTCCGGATCCCAAGACTCCTCTCAGGGTCCACCCCTCATGCACTCACCACCGCAAAGTCATCGTCATACACGAATCCAAACTGCAGGGTGTTGGCATACAGCAGGCCGGCCGCGATTGCCAGAGTCAGAGGCACCACGAGGCTGGGGACGAGGCCGGCACGCATCTGGCTGTGAGCAGTACCAGGACTCGCAGGGCCGTTCCGGGGTTTATCAGTCGCACTCACGGGCTCCGACATTGGGCTATGGGATCAGTGGTATCGGCTCATGGGTGGGGCCCGGCGACCATGGCTTGCTTCGAGTGAGGCGATGCATTGGCAGCTTTGGCGTCTTCAAACTCGAGGCCTCAGCTCTTGGGCCTTTCGTGCTTTCTAGAACACATATTCTCTTCCTGGGCCTACCGGACCAATTGGCTGCGGCCACCACTCCACGCCAAATAAATTGTTTATTTCGATCTCAAACTACAGCCATGCGGTTGGTCGCGAGCTTGTTGTGCCTGGCCGTGGTGGCCAGCGCCTACCACGAGAAGTTTGATGGAGGGTGGGAGAGCCGCTGGGTGCACAGCGATGACGCCAAGTACGCGGGCAACAAGCTGGTGGTCGAAACACCCGAGGGTGGCAGCGATCCCGCTCTAAAGGTGGGCCTGGGCTGAGGGCTCTCCTGGTGATCGCGGCCAGTACTCGAAACTTCTGGTCGGCCCCGGCCCATTCCCGATTGCCTGGCGCGGCCGCGATCCACGGTGCTGGACTGTCACCCTTGATGTGAGACATCATTGCTCCTCCCTCCCCCCCCGCCCCTCCCCCAGATCCCGGAGAAGGCACGGCACTACGGGATCAGCGTGGCCCTGCCCGAGCCGGTCGACCCGGCCAAGGGCCTCGTGCTCCAGTACGAGCTGAAGCTGCCCTCCGCGGGTCTTACCTGCGGCGGCGCCTACCTCAAGTTCGTGACCGCCGACCCGGGCTTCTCCCCCGCGGGCCTGGTGGACTCCACCCCCTACACCATCATGTTTGGGCCGGACAAGTGCGGCAGCACCAACAAGGTGCACCTCATCCTGCGCCACAAGAGCCCCAAGACGGGAGATATTGAGGAGAAGCACCTGAAGACGCCCCCCGTCTTCCCCAACGACGACCTGACCCACGTCTACACCGTGGAGCTCAGCCCCTCTGACAACACCTACCGCATGCTGATCGACGGCGTGGAGAAGAAGGCCGGCGCGCTGGCGGACGACTTCCTGCCCCCTTTCAACCCGCCGGAGACCATCGCCGACCCCGAGGACGTCAAGCCTGAGGACTGGGTGGATGAGGCCACGTGAGTGTGTGCGTGTGTGTGTGTGTAGATTTGCCCAAAGCACCGGGGATTCGTTCAATGGTCGTGCCAGGTTGTGCGTCGTGGATGCAACGCTCTCATTCAACGCTTGGGGACAGTTGCCGTGGCATATGGCACCCCTCCGCTCTTTCAAAGACCCAGTCGCATCCCGCATCCAACACGTGTTGCACTGGGCCCCTGCCTTCCAGACATAGTGGTAGCCCTGTCCCTCGCACCACTCTGTGCTCCACCACCCCCACCGCAGCATCCCCGACCCCGACGCGGTCAAGCCCGAGGACTGGGACGAGGACGCGCCGCTGCAGATCCCCGACGAGGACGCGGTGAAGCCTGAGGGCTGGCTGGACTCCGAGCCGGCCGAGATCGAGGACCCGGCCGCGCACCAGCCCGAGGACTGGGACGCAGAGGAGGATGGCGACTGGGAGGCGCCGCTCATCCCCAACCCTGCCTGCTCCGTCGGCTGTGGCGAGTGGAAGCGTCCCACCAAGCCCAACCCGGCCTACAAGGGCAAGTGGACCCGGCCTCAGGTGGCCAACCCGGCGTACAAGGGCCCCTGGAAGCCGCGCGACATCCCCAACCCCGCCCACTTTGTGGACGCCGCGCCGCTGTCCCACGTCGGCTCCATCGGCGGCGTGGCCCTGGAGGTGTGGACCATGGACTCCGACTACTACTTCAGCAACGTGGTGGTGAGCAACGACGCGGCGGAGGCGGCGGCAGTGCGTGATGCGACCTGGGCGCCCAAGCACGCCGCGGAGGCGGCGGCCGCGGAGGCCAAGTTCAAGGCCGAGGCGGCCAAGAAGAAGGCGGCAGGCGACGACGAGGACGAGGACGACGAGGGCCCGGTGGAGCGCCTGCTCGCCGCGGTGTTCGACTCCCCGCTCCTCGCACCGCATGCTGCGCGCCTGGCCCCCGTGCGGCGGTACACGGAGGAGAACCCGCAGCTGGTGCTGGGCGGTGTGGCTGGCCTGACCCTTGCCCTCCTGGCGCCCCTGCTCAAGGCACTGGTGGGCGGCGGCGGCGGCCGCAAGCCTGCCGCGCCCAGCGTGGCCCAGGTGAAGAAGGCGGACCTCCCCACCAAGGACGACGACGAGGAGGAGGAGGAGGAGGAGGAGGCCAAGGAGGTGGTGGAGGAGATCGAGGAGGAGGAGGAGGAGGAGGAGGAGAAGACCACCACCCGGCGGCGCGCTCGCCGCGACTGACCCGGGCCCGGTTGCTCCGCGTCAGACGCACCCCGACCGTATACATGTTTTTGTCTTGCATCCTTTCGCACTGAACTCACGCCCTGTTTAAATGACGGGATCTCTCCATGGACTGGGCGGTTGGAGCGATGGGGGGTCCGTGTTTGAGTGGCACAAGCAGGCACGGGCCAGGCTGGGTCGCGGGGGTTTCTGCACTGCATCGAACAAGGGGACGGGCAACAGCCAGGGTCAGAGAGGCACAGGGAATGGCGACAGGGTGCAGGTACCACCGGCGTGCCTCCGTGGGGGCGGCCAGGAGCCGGACCTCGTCCATAGCATCCCAGGCGCATCCCTCTCTAGCTCAGCGCATGGGCGCGGCCAGGCCCTGGAGCTGGGCCAGGGCCGCCTTCTTCACCCAGGCCCGGGTGTGGGGGGTGTAGGCGTCCAGGCTGGGGTCGTAGATGAGCATGGACACCTCGGGGAGCCTGTCCAGGTAGGCAAAGAGGTCGTCGAGCTCGTACGTCATCTCCGCGAGGTGGGGGTTCAGCTCCCGCAGCAGCTTCTCGTACATGGAGCAGATGCCTGCAGGGAAAGGGGAGGAGAGGGGGAGGTGGGAGGTGGGCCTGGTGATGGACAGTCTTCGGAGCTGAGCGGGGTGTTTGGGGTGGGCCGCAGTGCAGTTGGAGGTTACAGCTCAAGGGGCCGACTGGTTGCGAGACCTGGACCTCCTACACCCAAGGCCCACCTGTTAGGGCATCCGCGGTGGAGTCAAAGTCCGAAAAGGTACGTGAACTCTTGTCCCGCCCAGTCTGGAGCAGGACGATGGTGTGCCGCTTGTCCTCCTGCGCAGTGGTCTCGCAGCGAGATGTGTGCGACAGGAGGGTACAAGGGAGCTTCCCCAGCGCAATCTTAGGCGCCGCAACATATTGCAAGCTTACCAGGCTCATCGGATAGTGCTATCGCCCAGAATCCTCGTCGACACAGCGCCGAACGGGGGTCGTGGAGTTCTTGCGACAACCTTGCCGGCTAGCTCTTGAGCTCTTTGCCTGAGAGGCCTCTGCTCGATTCAATTGGGGTGATGATTCGACGGTGAATGCGTCGAAAACTACATCCACTGTGTTTGAGCCGCATGAGGCAGGCACTGCGGAGAACATCCTGCACGGACCCCCACTCGAGATGATGTGTCGCAGCGGGTGGAATCGAGCTGGCGAAGAGAGAAAGGGGCGATCTCCCGCACCAATTAGTGCAAATCACCGGCTCCACAGAATGACTGAATTTTCCACTATATCAAGACATATATCCTCATGCAGCTGCCATTGTAGAGCAGAAGGAACGCCCGCCCTTGTCGATCAGTTTCTCTAGGACCATGTTCGGAGGCTTCTTCGGGGGCTATGCGCCCACAGGTCGCTTTGAAGCGAGCTACAGATGCTACCCAGTGTCTTTCATCGACAGGATGGATGCAGAGAAGGGAGACAAGGTTTTCCTGCCCCCCTCTGCCCTGGACAGACTCTGTGAGCGCAAGAAGCCGAGGGGTGACCACTACGCCACTGCCCATATTGCTGCGCCACGCCAGAGCCACCCGCATTGAGCTGATCTCCTCATCTCACCGCAGCCCAGCTTCAGATCGACTACCCCATGCTCTTCAAGGTGGAGAACCGACAGTCGGGCCAGGCCACGCACTGCGGCGTCCTGGAGTTCATCGCAGATGAAGGCATGATCTACATGCCGTACTGGGTGAGAGGTTGTGCGAGATGAGCCTTGATCGGGTGGGGTGCATCACCAGGTGTCCGTGCGACATGCGGTACCACTCCGAGCCTGAAGCAGGGGCGCATGGAGTGTCTTGTCACAGCCGATTGTGAAGGCAGATTCCCACCAGCTTCAGTTTTCCGAGGGGACCCAGCCCCCCCACTCTATGCGCAACAGATGATGCAAAACCTTGTGTTGGAGGAGGGCACAGTGATCAGGCTGAGCAGCGCCACGCTGCCCAAGGGCAGCTTCGTGAAGCTGCAGCCCCACTCCAAGGACTTTCTGGACATCACCAACCCCCGTGCCGTGCTGGAAACCACGCTGAGAAACTTCACTTGCCTCACGGGTGGGGCTGGAGCGGTGATATTGTCTTTGTGGGGCTGGAGGATGGGCAGGCTTTCCCCCCTGTCAGTTGTGAAGCGGGCGTGCAGGAGGCCTGACATCCTGACTGTTAGCATATTCGTGTGTCAATGTCTCCATCACAACCGGGGAGCATGGACTCCGCATGGCAGAGATTTGGATGCCCTGGGGGCACACGCCTCGCGCACATCCCTGGCACCCGTGCCAACCGGCTGGTCCCTCCCTTGCCATGTGCCTTGATGCCCTCCAAGCACACCCACCGCGTGCTTGGCAAATAGCACCGCTAGACTCCCGTCATGGCCTCCATTCCTCGCAGTTGGCGACACGGTGCCCATCAACTACAACAACAAGAGGTACTTCATCGACATCATCGAGGCCAAACCCAGCGATGCGATCTCGGTCGTAGAAACAGACTGCAACGTGAGGGGCGTGGGGAAGGGGGGACTCTAGCGCCAGGCTTGCACGCTTGCCTGGCAGGGCACCTGGGGTGCTGGGTGCAGGGCTGCGTGATTTGGGTGCCTCAGCAGCCCCCGTCAGCGACTGAGCCTGCCCTTGGCGAGCCCATGCTTTTGGTCGATCCCTGACAGCTCCCACCAATTCCACTCTCAAGGTGGATTTTGCCCCGCCCTTGGATTATGTGGAGCCGGAATACACGCCAGCCGCCCCAGCCGCCGAACAGGCCTCCACCACCCGCCCCGACGGTGAGTCTGCAGGAGGGTCAGCCCTGCCGGGCGGGCCACCCTGTGTGCATGGCCAACCGTGTTGGACTGCGCAGGCCAGTCTGGCCGTCCTCACACCCAGGCTCGCAGTTCCCTGCCGTTTGTAATCATCCTCACCCTGATCGTCGACCCCGCAGCTGGCAGCGGGAGCAGCACCACGGAAGACAACGGCGACCCCGCCTCTCGCGCGGCTGCACCGGCGGAGCCGCAGTTCCTGGCTTTTGCAGGGACGGCCAAGAGGCTGGATGGAAGGCCCGCAGCCGACCCCCGGCCCGTGCCCGTGCCCCGGCCCGGGGGCAACAGCGCCTCGTCGGCAGGGCCCAGCACCAAGGACGGCAGCTCAGACGCTCAGGCGAGCTCTGGCGCGTTGAAGAAAGCGGGAAAGCTGATGTACAGGGACCGCCTGGCAGCTAAGTTTGCGGCCGCCAAGGACGGCAGGGGGGCCGCTGCGCCTCCCCCCTCGCCGCCCGCGAAGGCATCGGATGCCGAGGGCGGCGCAGAGAAAAAGGAGGACGGCTTCCAGCCCTTCAAGGGCCAAGGACGGTCCCTGAGGGGCTGACTGAGCCATTGGCCCCTGGCCTGTAAGCAGGTTGCAGTGTCCACGGCCGTAAACCCAGGACCTGCCCCGCTATGGTCGCCATTGCTGCCCAGTTGCCATTCTCTTCACACAGCTACAGCCCGCCTGTGAGGCTTGCCCGGCCCTGCACCACCTTACAGCAATGCTCTGTGCCAGAGCAGGGCCTGGCAGGTATGCAGAAGCGGAACCCTGGAGCGTAAGACCAACCAGCTTACTTCGTGAGGGCGTTGCGCCCTGGCGCCCCTGCCCAGCTGGTCCGGGGCTGGCCGCGCTTTCTCAATCCGTCCAGACCACGCTGCCAACCACCCATCTCTGGAAGTCGTTGCTGAGCCGCATGGCGATCTTGTGGAAGATGGTGTCGGCAGCGTTGTAAATCTGGGCAGGATGCACGGATAGAGGGTGGGGTGGGGGGTGCTATTGCACAATGAACTCGAGCAGGGCAGGGAGTCTGAGGGACCCGATAGCCAGGAGAAGGCATGCAGAGACAAAGGTGCAGCAAAAATGAGCGCACAAACACCCCCGAACTACTTCCTAAAACCACCCCGGCCCGGCGAGTGCCCACCTTGGCATTGTTAAACATGCGTAAGACATCTGCGGCAAAGATGTCGAGGGTCTGGTAAAACGCCCGGCTGGCCAGCCTCTCTTGGATGGTGGTTAGGTCGATGGGATCCTGGGGTTGGGAGTTTGAGTCTCGGGTTGTGGAGTGGCGTTCATGCAAACTTCAGAAAGCATGGGGTGGGACGAATACTTGTTCCCAGTGGGCGCTGTGCTGCCATCCAGGGTGTCAAGCGGTAGTATTGCCCTCGGCTCGCGTCCTGCAAAACAGGCACAGCTCTCCGTACATGCCTGCATCGGACTCCACCCCTCGTACCTTGATCACGTCATAGTAGTCAGGGACCTCCTCCTTGGATACGGGGGTCAGGAACGGCCAGGAATCGGGCTCGGCCTGAGGGTCATGGTTTACAATAAAGACGTTGTTGCTGTGAGATAGATTCAGGCTCATCTCCACTAGCATGTAGGAAATCAGCGAACTCAACAATCTTGTCAAGATTGGCTTTGGTCCTCCCACTATCTGCCCATGCTGCTCAGCATGCCATCACACACTCATTCCTCTCAAACCCCACCTTTATCCTCTTCACGAGGAAGGTCATGCACTTGTGCAGGGCTTCGGGCGTGGGCTCCAGCCTGGCCCCATCCACCACCAGCTGGAAGCCGCGGCTCCCAGCGGCTGCAGACGCCTCGGTCCAGCCGGATTCTCGCACGCCTGCCGGGAAAAGGGGTTTGGGGTTCACACACAAAATGCTTGGGATGCCACTGAAATTGACTGCCGTCAGCATCCAGCCAGGAGCAGGGGGCACTCACGAGCACCAGTCTTAAGACCGCCGGACAGCAGGGTGTCCCCAACAAGAAGAGCTCCTCAGAGCCCGGGGACAGCTTCCATGCCGAGCTGCCCTCCCCTTGCACACCCCACACCCCCCCGCGCAGCAGCACACCTGGGATGTCGGAGATGGGGAGGACCGCAGGTCCCGACCTCCAGAAGTCCAGCCCAGGGTATTGCACGTGGCCCTTGGTGTACTTTCGGACCTGGGGGGCGGGTGGATAGGGCGCAGGTGGGTGGTGCTGCATGCCGAGTCGAGGAGAGAGGAGGGGGGCAGGGGCCCCAGCCAGCACAGGCCCCCTCCGACGGCCACCAGAGAGCCAGGGCGTGCACACCTGGGCCTCCAGCGCGGCTTTGTGATGCAGCACCATGCCGGCAAAGTCTGTGAAGGGCAGGGTGGGGTGGATGTGGCACTCCATCAGCGTCCCGCCGTCGTAGTCCTTGATGAAGCCGTGCCACTGTTATTGGGAGAGGGGGTGGTGAGGGTGAGGGCAGACCAGGAGCGGTGCATGGGGTGCACTGCACGAGGCTTCACGCAGCGATGCCTCCAGCCCACCAGAAGGCCCACCCAGGAGCGCCGCGCACCCTCTCCTTCTCCATGCTGATGGTCTTGGAGAAGCCCTGCTTGGAGAAGTAGCCCACCGCATTGTTGTCGGCGTATGTAAGAAAATACTGGCACCCATCCTGGTCCCGTGCATGCAGCTGCCAGCAGGGGATGAAAGGAAGGGGGGGGAGGATAGCAATTGCATGTGGCTGCCCAGGGGGAATGAGGACATGGAAACTCGGGTCCGCAACCCCAACAAGTATTTGCATGGCACTCGGCCCTGCCCAGCGGCAGGCAGGCGTGGCGATGGAGACGCGCCGGTCGCGCAGGCTCATGACCCAGCCCACCCCCCCACCTTGGTCCAGCTCATGAGGCGTGTGCCGAAGCCCGACACCTGCAGGCTCTGGGCCACGGCGCAGAAGGCGATCTCGGCAAACCTTTGGCTGTGAAATGGGCGGTAGGTGATGCCAGCAATGATTGAAGTGTTGTTCCGGGTGATGACGACGGACCTGAAGGGAGGAGCAGGGTGGCAGATCTTGGTGGTCGGTGGAAGGAGGATCTCGGCTCAGGACTGGGCCCGGGAAGCCTACGTGCCCTGCAGCAATGCCATGGCTCAACACGGAGACAACAAGTCTTCCAAAGCAGGTCGGTAGGAGGGCAGGAAGGCATGGCATGGCCCTCTCGAACCCCTCCATCCCTGGAGCCACTCGCCTGTGCCTCCGATCGAACACGAGGCGGGTGATGTACTCCTTGGGCATGTTTGGGAGGCACTTGGAGAACACATTCTTCAACCCGATCAGCAGCCTGCCCGACAGGGGGCTGCCGTCGTTGATGACATAGTGCGCCTGCACCTCGCCCGACCTCTCGCGCTCCAGGTGCTTCAGCTCCCGGTTGGTGTAGGTGTCCAGCACCGGGGCGGCAGCAGGGGCAGCGGTTGCTGGTTCGCCGGCATCCTCCTCCTCCTTCACTTCCGCCTTCTGATGTTTAGACGGGAACGAAGAATGAACTCATGTAAGAAGACCAGGTCGGCATGCAAAGCCCAAGGGTGTCGGGCTGGGCAGGGAGCTGGACACCGTTGCACTGGCCAGGTCACCCCTGCGATCATTGGAGATGCACGCCATCGTACCGGGGGAGTGCCGGCCACCTCGGCTTCAGATGGAGGTTGGGGGTCCTCTGCATCTACCATTACGATGTTTTATCGGGATGCTCTGCCCGAAAAGGAGTCACGCAGGGAGGGCGCATGCTCCCATGCTGAAGATGGGGGCCTTCCCCCTCCGAGGGACAGCTTTCCCAACAGACTGGGCGTAGTGCGATAGGGAAGCAATCACAGCGGCAGCTCAGCCCTGATTCCTTGAGTTTGTGACCGGGGCGATGTCGTCTGTCCCACTGAACCATCAGCTGCGTCGAGTGTCATGTGTGTCCTAGAGCGACTCTGCGCCCGGGGCCCCCAACTTCCCGCGCCTGGAGTGTGCACAGGATATATAAGCGGAATATCCCGTGCCAGCTAGTGGTAGGGCTTTTCACTCGCACATCCAAGTCCAATAAATTACTCAACGTGACCAGATTGTATTCTTCTCTCCGCCTGGGCGCTCCAAACGAGGCCTCAACGGGTTTGCTGGGGTGTCGTCTCGCCCCCAGTCCGATACGCGCGACTCGAGCGGCACGACCCCCTCAAGCCCCACCCTCGAGCTATCACCAAGACGTTGGACTCAAAGCATTGACACAAGGCCGGGATGGTGGACATGGTGAATGTCCTGCGGCCGTGCCTGCACCAGGTGGGTGCGGGCCCGATGGCCGTCGATGGGTCCCGGCCAGGGTCACCCCAGCGGGCCTGCTCGAGCGGCGAGGTGGCTGTACAGCGATGCACGTCTGTGGGTCGTCTTCTTCCCTCGCTGCAGCATCAACCCGCACCCTCCTCCCTCCATCCTTTCAGGTCGCTGGCCACATGTTTGAAGGTCGGCTGGCTGGGTGATGACCTCCTGCCATTTCCCTGAGCTGGCCCGCGGCCTGCCCACAGAGCCGTGCCGGTCCTTGGAACCCACGCACCATGCACTTCAGTGCAGCCAGCACGCCCGGTTTTATGGCCATGCCCCACCCATTCCCCATGTCACCCGCTCCCTGGCCTCCCACACCCTCCCATGCACCCCCAACGGGCCCCCTCGCCCATTCTCCCATCACGCCCCCCACACAACATGCCCCCCCTCCCCGTCATCATTGTGCAGAGGGCAAAGCGGGCAGTTTCGTCGACGACGTCGGCCACTTCTACAAACCCCTGCAGCAGGGCCCCCGTGGAGACCGCGAGCGCGCCTTCTACGAGGACATCGCCTCCGAGCTGGCGGCGGAGCACCTCTGGCGCCGCACTTCCTCGGCGCGCCGCCCCTCCCTGCGCCCCCCGCCCTTCTTCCCCGACCTGCGGGAGCTGGAGCGGCGGGGCGACATCGCGCAGCGCGACGAGTGGGGCCTTGTGGGCAGCCCCTCCCTGCACCGGCACAGCGCCGGCGCTGGCGCCGGCAGCGACGGCGGCGCCAGCCCGCACGGCGCCAGTGACGAGGACGAGGGCACGGCCGCGGCGCTCATGGTGGACGCCTGGGTGGCGCGACGTGGGCGGGGCGCGGGAAGCGCCGCTGACTCCTCCACTCCCGCGGCCAGCGGCAGCGACGGCGGCGGCGGCGACGGCCAGCCCAGCCCAGAGCGCGCTCGGGGCTGCTCGCCCTTTGCCAGCAGCAATGGGCGCGGCGCCGTGGGGGGGTCCCCGTTGCGCATCGACAGCACCAGCTCCAGCTCCAACGGCAAGGCCTCGGATGCGGGGCGGGAGCCGGACGCAGAGCCTGAGCCGCAGTTTTCGGTGCTGCACTCCCCCCTACTCCGCGTCATCCCGCGATTCTGTGAGTGGGAATAGCTGTGCCTGGGGCAGGGCTTGCGTTATCTGCTCTGTTAATGGGGTGGGGAGGGGAAGGCAGGGCCACACTTGGTAGGGTCAAGAACCTGGCCAGGCCCTTTCGGAGATTTTTACGTGTTCTTCAGTGTCGTGGCTCAGCAGGGAGCCTGCTCCTTCCTACTCATCCCCCTTTTTCGCGGACTGCCCGTCAACTACCACCACAACCATCGCAGACGGCGTGGTGACGGTGGGCCAGCGGACGCTGCTGGAGCTGGAGGACCTGGCGCGAGGGTACCGCCACCCCTGCATCGTAGACATCAAGATAGGGTACCGCACATGGTACCCGGAGGCGGGCGACGAAGCATACATAGCACGCTGCAAGTGCGTGAGCGCGGGGCCCCAGGGGGGCTGCAGACATTATTGGGCATGCCAGCCGTGGCAGTGCTTGGCCCGGGAAACCCTCGTCTGCTCGTCCAATCCTGCCCCACTGCTGCCCCTTTCAATGGCGAATCCCCCCCCCACGTGTTGCAGGCAAAAGGATGCGGCGACCACGCAGGCCCGCCTGGGCTTTAAGATCTGTGGCATGCAGGTCTGGCGCTCATGCCAGGGCGGGTACTGGCGGGCGAGCAAGCGCTGGTGCAAGACGCTGCCCGAGGCCCTGGTTGACAAGGCGCTGATGAGCTTCACAAACAACGGTGAGGAATTGGGAAGTGGCACTGTTGCCAATGGGCACTGATCTTGTGTTTCATGGGGTTTCAAGGTGCTGAGTGTGGGCAACCTTGGGGAGGGGTGCAATGGAAGGCTGATGCCACAGCAGAGAGGGAAGGGAAGGGACATTTTAGGATGAGCCGGGCGATGTCGGCAACAAAACTTGGCCCATGCCCCTTAGATGAAGGCATGTTGCGGCATGCAATACTCCCTGCATCCACCCGCCCCCCGCACTCATCCTCCTCGACTCCACTCCCCTCATCCTGAGCTTGCAGAAAAAGGGCTGCACCCCCAACATGTGTTTGGGGGCCCACATGGTGCGGTGGCCCAGCTCCAGACCCTGCTCTCATGGGTGGATGTACAGCGCAGCTTCCGCTTTTACTCCTCCTCGATCCTCCTCTTGTATGAAGGCGACGCACAGGGTGAGCGGGATGGGAAGAGCGGTGGACTGTGGTGCAGGACCCTGCCTTGCCTTAGCCCTGGCGTGCTGTCCGGCCGCCCACCATCATGGTGGGATCTTGCCCCAACACACCGATCCCTCCCTCCTCACCATTGACAGACGCAGAGGGCGCGGCCGTGCGCGTCAGGCTGGTGGATTTTGCGCACAGCTTCCGCACGAATTCCTCCGCTCGTGACGACAACTTCCTGCTGGGCCTCACGTCGCTAATGCAGCGCATGCGACGGGTACAAGGGGAAGACCTGGACATCGCCTTTGTTTGAACCTTTGCTGGTGGACACGTGGGGCACTGGCACCCTCAGCGGATGTATGTAGCCCCATTATTGCCTTCCCTCCTTGTCCCTGTCTCATCTAGCCCTACTTTTTCACGTTGACATTGCTGCGGTGACTTCGCCTACATTTGTAAATCCAGATTAGCAGGGTTCCCCGCCCCGAAAGCGCCGATTTCAAAAGTTTGGGTCGATGGGACACTGGCAATGTGCATTGAAGAGCCAAAGCATGCTTAGCGCATTGTGCCCATGCCTCCCTCACGCTTGATTAGATTGGAACTCAACGCGAATCTCTCTTGAAGACTCCCTCGTCTCGGCCCCGTTCTCGAAATGGCGGTGGCCATGAGCCACGACGCCGCGTCATGCCTGCAAGCAATACAGCCGACTGAGACCACGTTCACAACAGTCTGTACCGTCGTGGGTGAGTGAAGTCGACATGCAACTACCTAGAGTCGTTGAGATCATGTAAGCGACCCATTCACCTCCTGGTTACTCTCCAACCCTGCAGGGCTGGCAGCCCTCATACCCCTTGCAAGATACATTCTCAGTCACTTGCTATTCAAGGTAGGCAGGATGAGCAATTTCCCTGAAAGATGCTTTCTGCGAGCCAGCTGGAGTCTAAAATGTCATTACAGTGGGAACACCCTCCCAAGCCATCCCCAAACAGAGTATCAACCATACCTCCCCCCTCCATTGCCGCAGCCGCTCAGCATCAAACATGTCGCGCCACCACCCAAAGGATCTGACCCATCCTTACTACCTCTCCAACGGAGCAAGTTCCGAGAGAGCTGCTGGAAGCTCACAGTGTATGGCGTGCTGTCACTGGCGGGCGCGAGTCTCATCTGGCAAGGGGGCTGGGTCAGCGACACCTCCACCCTGTGGAAGGGCTGGCCCGAACACGATCCCAGGTGGGACTCGTGGGTATGGGGACAAAGGAGTGCAGTACCTATGGACAGGAGTGCGTGCTAGTGCATCTGTACGGCACATGACCAGCCATGCCGATGGCTGTGCTGGTGCCGGTACAGACAATCCACCCTCCCTGAACCCCCCCTCCCTCCAGCCCTGGCTTGCTCGCACTGTACTACTTTGAGCTGTCGTTTTACTTGGCCAGCACCTTCATGCTGGTTTGGTGGGAAGCACGGCGCAAGGACTTCCCGGTCATGATGGCCCACCACTTTGTGACAGGGGCCCTCATAGCACTCTCCCTCCGTTTAAAGTGAGCGTTGGTGTGGCTGTTCAGCAATGTGATGCTGGGAAGGACGGGAATTTCAACTGGCATGTGCAGCTTGCATCGTAGTCCACGGCAATGAGTGCGGGAGTTTTTCAGGTTCCAGCACCGGACGGCATTGATGCCAGCTTGCTGCCAGATGTATGCCGTCCTTGTGTGCCTGGGATGCTTAGGATCAGCCCCTGTGAACCACATGCCACCCTCGGCCCTCAACATGCTTCCGCCCTGCACATCCTTCCCACCAGCTTCCTGAGGGTGGGCGCCATCATCATGACGCTGCATGATGCGTGTGACGTCCTGCTGGAGGCCTCCAAGCTGGCCAAGTACACGGGGCATGATGCAGGGGCCACCACGCTCTTCACAGCCTTTGCGCTGTCGTGGGCGGGCCTGCGTCTCGCTTTCTTCCCGTTCGTGGTCATCCACAGCACCAGGTGGCCGCTGGGATCCGGGATTCGCGGGTTTGCAAGGGCCGTTCCTCGTGGTATTGCGGTGAGGGGTGATGTGACGTCAGACCCTCTCGCTGCTGGCACACAAATTGTGTGATGTTTTGGGGGCTGGCACCGCAGCGTGGCCCGGGATTACCTGTGTGGGCCTGCTCCACCCTGGTTTAGCAACTCTCATTCCAGGATGCCTCTGCTCAGCGACATTCACAAGTCTATCACCCTGCCACACCTCCATGCTGCAGGTTTGAGATTGTGGAGGTTCTGTCCTATCGCCCACCCTGCCTCACTGCTTTCAACACCTTCCTCCTCTCCTTGGTGGCCATGCATGTCTACTGGTTCGCCCTGATCCTGCTGGTAGCATACCGACGGGTGGCCCTGGGGGAAATTGAGGACAGCCGGGAGGATTGATGACATACGGCGGGGGGAAGCAGCCTTGAAGGAGCCTCCCTCTGGCCCCTACAGCTCAGTCTGACCTGCGTTTCGATTTTTTGGATGTTTCTCTTGTCCCCCATTTTCCGGCCAACACCGATCCCTTTCCCCACCCCGTTCTCGCCAACCTCCAGCCTTTCCCCGCTTCTTTCCCTCTGCGCACTGATTATGGGAGTGGCGTCGGCGCTCTGCGTCCGACCAGGTGACGCATCTCTGCCCTGCTGTGTGTAAATAAAATGGGCCATATCCACGCAAGGTGCCTGGTTGGGTCCCTAGGGAGCACACGAGCCTGCCCTTGGCAGGCATTCGCCGGTAAGGGAGAAAAGGGAATGGGAAGGATGGGGAGGGGGAAGGGGTTGCACACCGCAATCTCCCGCTCTTCCGGCCTCAGGGACAGCGAGCTGGGAAGATCAATCGGCCCAGCAGGCACTGGCTCCAAGGCGAGTCCAGGTTCAGGACCTCTGAGCGTTTCCTATTGCGAAAACGGCAGGATGACATCGCGCGCCGGCCCCAGGGTTATAATGCCTGAGCCCCCGGGCAGGTGCAGCACGCCGTGCTCCAGCAGGGAGGAGGCCCCCGCCGCGCCCCGCAGCTCCAGCGCCGCCTGGCCGGCCAGGTGGGCACGCAGCTTCTGCGTGGCTTCCGCCATGCCCCGGCAGGTGTCGTCTGAGTCCCGGCCGTGCACCTCGTCCAGCCAGGCCCCCGCCCACTCCAGCTGGTGGACCAGCATGGAGTCGCCGGGCGCCGAGGTGGTGGAAAGCATGGCGCGCGCGAGGATGCCGGGGGGGAGCGAGGTGACCGCCTGCGTTTCAATGCAGTGTAGGTGAGTAGCAGGGAGGGCAGGTGTTTCTGGGTGCACACAGCATCCCATGTACCATGCGGTGTATGGTGGAGGTCAGTAATTTTACTATAGCATAGGTAAACTTTGCAGTACCCCTGCAGTACCTGGGCGACGGCGAGGACCGCCGCGCGCCGGACATAGGGCTCCGCATGCGCATGCACTGCCTCGCAGCGCACAAGCTCCAGCGTGGCGGACGTGAGTCCCGCACTTTCCACGTGCCCGGCCGTTGCCTCCAGGAAGGTGCCTGTGCGCAACGGGGGGCCAGGGATGGGATAAGGGGTGGCCGGCGGCAGCGCTTGAGCATGGAGGAGGCTAGGAGCGGGGGTGCCTCAGGCTGCCAAGGGCACCGGATGGTCTCGGGTGCCCTTGGCTGCAATGGATTGTCAGGCACAACACCTGATTTCCCTACCAGGACAGGGCACCCGTGCAACGCACCCAGGGTGGTGAGCAGGCGGCCCAGCAGGAAAGCGTCTCGCCCAAAGAGGTCGATGCCGTGGTGCTGCTTGTCCACGCCTCCCAGCAACACAGACGCCCACTGCAGCGCGACCACCGTGAACCTGCGCAGAGGATTGCAGGTATGGGGGGTTGTGGGGTGGTGGGTGGGGACCCACCAGCGGCGGATGCACGGATCATGCCCTGAAGCGGCGGCACTATTGGTGAGTGCTCACAGAGTGCTTCACGCAGCATCTCCCGTCCTCCCAGGCATGACCCGAACCTGAGATCTACCTGTTGGTGTAGCCCTCCGAGTCCCCTCCACTCCCCAGGGACTGCAGACTCCTGTCGGCGCGCCACGTCACCCTCCCCACCTTCCCACCGCCATCCGGGCCCAGCGCAGGCAACGGCGGCCGAGCGCGAGCACCCGGCCCCCGCCCGCCTCCCAGCCCGGCACGCCCCGGCACCCTGCCCGCCAGCTCCAGCGCCGCGGAGGAAAGCGCGTCCAGGATGAGCACCCGCTGGTGGGTGTCCAGGCTCGGGGAGTACAGCTCACTGGCCAGAGCAATGCCACCACGCTGCGGCTCCGCCCCCAGCGTGGCTACAATGGCCCTGGCACGGCACAGATGGGGGGAGGCTGGGCGGAAGGCGTGCGACAAGCGCCGACTGGTACTCCGCGACATGAAATTACAGAGTGCAGGCCACCCCGCACCATGCCAGGACACCAGCTCTCATCTCGCGGGAGCCACCGACTCACCCCATACGCTGCTCTAGGATAGGCGGGGCGCCCGATGCGGTCTCCTCGTCGCCCCAGGAGGGCAGGCGGGCGTGCAGCAGCGCTCGTGCGAGGCGATCTGGCGATGCAACGCAGGGATCGAAATGCGACACTTTGAGTGGGGAACAGGTGCGGCGCTGCGTATTTCATGCGCCCAGGACGGGCACGATGCGCCGCATGCTACTTGCTCCTGCCATCTGAGGCCTGTGGGGACCCCACCTCCCTCTCATCCCCCCCCACCCCCACCAATGCACCTGCTTGGTGGGGTAGCTCGTCTGGCGCCGCCCTCACCAGCATCTCAGCGGCCTGCACCGCCTGCAGCGCCCCCTTCCAGTCAGACTCCGCCTTTGAGAGCCCGGAAATTACTTCCCGCAGCGACAGCCGCCGCCTCGCAGACTCTATGGTGGTCAACAGAGACAATGGGCAGGTGAGGAAGGAGGTAATTGTGCGACAGACAAACATCTGAGCTTGAGATAGGAGACAGGCTGATAGTGTGGTGAACCGTCACTGGCGTTCCCCGCAAAGCGATGCTACAGGGGATGCACAGGATGCGACTTCTGTGCAGCCACAGGGGCCCTCCCGCCCCTCGACAAATCCCAGCCCCACCCAGGCCCCACCATCCTCGTCAGACTCCGCCAGGTCGTAGGCCGGCAGTCCTGCCGTGTCATCAAGCTCGTCATCGTCGTCGGAGTCCGTCCCGGTCAGCGGACCCAGCTCCTCTTCGCTATCGCTTTCGGCCCGGGGTGTCTCGCGTGCCATGCCTTCACCGCTCGGCGCCACGCCGGATCCCTCAGCGGGCGACCGGTCACTGCTGCCGCGCGGGGCCTCCAAGCATCGCCCCGCCACCTGCCCAGCCCCGCACTCGTTCCCCTCCCCACCGCCCTCGCCCTCGTCTTCGCTGGCTTCCCAGTAGCCCTCCTCCAACTCCCCCAGGGCCAACTCGTCCGCGAAGAGGGCGGGCGAGGCCGGGTCCAGCGTCAGGGATAGCTGTCGCGCGACGCGCATGCCCCGCCGCCGCACCTCTGGCTGTGGGCTGTCCAGGTGGGCAGACACGCCGCCGAGGATGGCCGGCAGCAGCGGGCCCTGATCCAGCGCGCCGACGTCGATTGCCACCAGCGCGGCGCAGAGGCCCAGCGTCAGCGCGGCCTGGCGCGGTGCTGGCAGCGTACACGACCCCGCCCAGGCCTGCGCCAGGGGGAGCAGGCGACCAGCGCTGCCGCCAGGGTCTGGCCCTGCGGCTCCGAGCAGCTCCGTGACCGCCGCTCGGACCGCGGCGGGGGGCAGCATCCGATCGCCGAGCAGGCGCTGCAGCGTCTCGGGCGAGCGCGCGGGTGAGGCCGCGCCCAGCGCCGCCAGCACGGCCCCGGCATGCGCGCCGCGCCGGGAGGAAAGCGCTGCCTGCAGCGCGGCCAGCCCCGCCCGCGCGTCCTCCAGCTGCCCCAGCCAGGCCAGCGGAGGGGTGGGAGCGAGGAAGGGAACCAGGGGGGCCTGGTGAGGGCAAGGCTCTGCAGAGGCTCCCTTAAGCATCCCCCTGTCTGATTCGGCAGGGTCATCGGCTCCTGCATCACCTTTTGAGCGAGCGACGTCCACCGCCGGCGACATTCCATCCACCTCGGCTGCCAGCTGCGCCAGCGCCGCGCCGACGGGCTGGGCGTGGCCCCGCCTCACCAGGCGCTGGGTGGTGGCGGCCGCCAGGCGGGTCGCCTGTGCGCCCAGCGGCCCCGTTGATGCCGCTGCCCACGACAGCGCGGGCAGCAGGGCGGCGCAGTAGGCTGGCGCGGCCAGGCAGGCATGTTCCCAGGAGGGCGCCAGGTCTGGCAGCGCGGCCAGCGCGCCGGCGATCCGCTCTTGGTCGGCTTCGGTGGCCTCCGAGCAGCCTGCAGCGCATGAGGTCTCCGGGCGGTCAGCCATCTGCCGCCCCACCGCACCCACACCAGCCAGATCCTCGACTAATCGTGCCACCGACGCGACGCAGGACTGGGGGGATCCAAAGCGTGCGCTCAGTAGCTCTGCTGCGACGATGCCGGAGGCGGCCGCCACAGATGTGTGCCGCCGTGAGCGGCCGGATGCCGACTCCACGAGGACGGGCTGGACCGCTGCGAGGTGGCTGCATGGTTGGAAAGGGGGAAAGGAAGGCGTTGGTTGGGATACTCGCCTTGGAAAAGGCTCCAAGTGCTCGGGGCAAGTCAAGTAAGGGCGGGGCAACAACGTCAGGGCCGTACCCTCATTGCATGAAGTTCCACCTCCACACACGCACGAGCACCCCTCCTGGCTGCTCCCCTCCACCACCACCCAAATGCCTCACTCCACGGCAGTCAGCAGGGCGTCCCTCACGCTCAGCCTCCCAAACCAGGACCAGAAATGCCGCTGCACGAAGCCAGGCGCTCCCCTCTCCTCCAGCTGGGCCAGCCAGCGAGGAGCTACGCTGGACAGGAGCGCGTGGCTGTATGCCTTCACGGCAGGGCTGCTGGGTAATGGGAAGTCACTCGTCCTTGTTGTGGCCTCCGTGGGGGCGCGAGCCTGCACGCTCTGCAGCTGCGCATCCAGGTCATGCATGATGCCTTGGAGCACTGCGGCCTTCGCCAGCATCTCCGGAGCGATCGCATCTCCACCCAGGACAACAGGTCCCAGCTCCAGGAGTGCTATGACCTGCTCCAGGGTCTTGCACCGGGGTAAGGCCCCCGCGATGGCAAGTCCCAGCTCCCTGGACGCCTCGTCCATGCCTCACTCAGGTTCCCAAGTAATGCATGATCTGCGAGGCACGATCACGTTGAAATGTATCTTGATTTATGCATGAATTATCTCAAATGTACATGTCCTACATAAGTATTATTATGTGCGTTTTTGGTTCTCTTGCGCCCAGATCAGGGTGACGTTCGAAGTAGTTTTAGCGCGCGCCCCATTGCTTACGTCACCATTTCACCACAAGCTGGACTTTCCCCATAACTCTTGATCTATGGCATCTCTTGAGAAGCAAATCCTCATCAAGCATTACGATATCAGTGGCTGTATGGTTGGGCAGGCCCTGATTGGGCGTGGTGGCACCTAACACATGTCCTCGGCGAGAGCACGCCCCAGCTTCGGCAACCTTTTCAGTTTACTCCGTACGCCGGAGCTTGGAGGGTGGGACTGACTATGACTTCGAGTTACCCAGGACATTAACCCAAACTCTGTGTGCACACATCCTCCTTGCAGGTGCTGTGACGATGACCTCAGGAGCGACCACTCTGAAGCAGCCCCTGACGCTGCCTGCGCATCACAGTACCAGCGGCATATTTTGGAAGACCAGAACATTTGAGAACATTTGGGACACATGGAAGGTGTGCAGGATTGCTCTGGAGGTTATGTGGGCATGAAGTGGGTTTGAGATGGTGCAGAATGCCGACAGGGACTACACCTGTCCCAGCTGGAATGTCTTGGACGGCCCACTCTGGACGAGCCTGAGTGTACTTCGGCTTGCGTCATCTATAACACCATTCCCCATCCACGTGCACAGGACATCACTTTCAAGGATGTTTATAAGTGGGCGAGTACACGCAAGTCGCACTGCGTGAAGGGCTACCTGATGTCCACCACTACCCCCACGGCCGCAGATTTTGCGGAAGCCTTTCCTCCATACCCTGTGGACTGGAAGGCTCTTGCCAACCCTCCCAGTGAGTTTCTGGCTACAGCTCTGCTGGTGGGAGAAATCTACTGGCCTATGCAGTGTAGCGCTCTCAAGTGGCAGGTCGCGGTATGGGCTCAAATGGCGGAGCACCTACCCGATCTTCGCTTTCCATCTCCCTTGTCATCGGACCGTCGGGCCTGACATTTCCAACCACCTGCCCCATCTTCACCTGCAGGTGATGCCATCCAGGCTGTCTGGGTGGGTCACTCCACTGTGCTTACCCAGATGCAGGGGCTCACCTGGATCACAGACCCGGTGTTCTCCGAGAGGGCTTCCCCAGTGCAGTGGGCGGGACCCAAGCGCGTCACGCCGCCTGCCTTCACCCTTGAAGCGCCTGCCCTCCCCCGCCTCGACTTTGTCCTCATCTCGCATAACCACTATGGTGCGCTGTGTTGGGGGGCAGCCGGCCAGGGGCTCCTGGTGTGGTGTGTGTGGCTCTGAGATGAGGGAAGCGATGATGTTGGATGCAGCACATCTGGCTGCCGGGCAACAGCAGGGGAAGGGATGCAGGTCTGTGGTACCTCAATACACAGAACTGGTCATGCCAGTGTTGGACTGTGGTTCTGTGGCTCAAGTTTGTGAGGTCAGATGATCCATACAGCTTCACAGGGGAGTTGTAAATGCTGGGAACCTGCATCTCACCAAAATCATCTCCCCTCCCCACGCCACACAGACCACCTGGACCGGGCCAGCGTCAAGTCTCTGCATGCGCGATTCGGCGAGGCCTTGAGCTGGTACGTCCCGCTCGGCCTCGCCACCTGGTTCAGGGCCGAGGGCATCTCGAACGTGCGGGAGCTGGACTGGTGGGAGGAGGCGCGGCACCCCTCGCCCGACGGCTCCAGCGTCCGCCTGGTGTTGACCCCGGCGCAGCACGCCACGATGAGGGGGTTGTGGGGGCCCAACGCCGGGCGCCGGCAGACGCTGTGGGGCGGCTGGGCCGTGCTCGGCTCCCAGCGGTGAGGCCATTGAGTGGAGATGGGGCATGGCTGGCAATCCAACGGTTGGATTGTAACAATACCAGACCCCGCGCAGTCCTCCCGGGGGGCGCCCCCCGCCTGAGGGTGGCACCCTTTTGCACCGGCCGCGTCGCCCCATGTCGCCACGATGCGAGTGTGAGCCCTGTCTCTCCCCCCATTCCCCTCACTCAAACACACGCAGGCGGTTCTGGTTCGCCGGCGACACCGGCTACTGCACCGTGTTCCGGGAGATCGGCGAGCGGCTGGGCCCCTTCGACCTGGCCGCCATCCCCACCGCCGCCTACCTCCCCCGCGACTTCATGCGCGCGCAGCATGTGAATCCAGCCGAGGCGGTCCGGATCCACCGCGACGTGCGCAGCAGGCGCAGCATGGCCATCCACCTGGCTACCTTTCCCCTGACCGACGAGCCCATGGACGAGCCTGTGGGGGAGCTGCGGCGCCAGGCGGCGGCCGCTGGTCTGGGGGACGAGGAGTTTGTCAGCCTGCGCCACGGCGCCTCCATCGTGACGAGCGGTGGGGTCGATCTGGTGGCCCCCGTCACGCTCTCTTGTTGAGCTTTTGGGGGGATGCAGTGGGGGCCTTGCTGGTCGCATGACCCCTGAGCAGTGTCGAACCGAGGCTGTGAGCCTGGAGCAGCACGTCTCTGAATGACCCCGCCTCGTTGCTCCCCTGGGTCTCATGCCTCTCTGCCACCTTTTGTTCTACTCTCACTCCCTGTGCCGCCTCGCCCCGTTTCCATGTTCTCATTGTTCTTTTGGACACTTTCTCACGTGACCTCCATGGTCAGTCATCAGCATGTTAACGAAGAGAGCATTGCTGTCATGGGAAACCTGAGAACAGTGGCGACAACCAGCCTGCGTCGGACCTGCGCCGCTCATGTGTCCGCAGCTCCATCCAGGACGGCAGAAAGCCTGGTCGCTGCCACCACGAGGGCCTCGGCTGGGACCCAGGCAAAGCAGACTCGGAAGTAGCCGGGCTCGGCGGCATGGCAGCTGTGCCCGGTGGTGACGACCACCCTGGCCTCATCGCAGATGCGCTGCCAGAGGGCGGCTTCCCCCTCCCAGCCCTGCTTCGGCAGCCATTTCCTGCAAGACGGGGGGATCCACATGAGCAAGCAGGTGGTGACATGTCGACGAATCAGGGCACCGAGGACCTTGAACAGGCGTCCCATGTCGCTCTCATGCCATCCCTGCCAGCTATCGACGGCATCTCTGAAGCAGGGGCACAGATGCATGCTCTGAACCCGATGAGCTCAGATGCCGCAAAGGTCAGCGCTCACCTGAGGTCCAGCCACACAAACATGGCAGAGGTGGCGGGGGTGAAAGGGATGCCCGCCTCTGTCAGCGCGGCTGTCGAGAAGAAATAGGTGCCTTGATGAGGGAGCGGCAGAGGTATTGCAGGGGGTCCTGCTCACTATCTGAAGGGTGCATGCGACGTCAAAGCCTGCCATCAGAATCGCCACGCAAGTCACAGCCCCGCCATGCACCTGAGAATGCTGAGTAGGACAGGGCCAGCTGCCTCTGGTTCTCTGCCACCCAGGCATCCACCCAGTCAAGGTCAGAGAGCACGACCGTCAGGGCATACTGCACAAGATTGCTCGCCTGGGAGAAGGGTGAGATGGAGCCAAAAACCTGCCAGGAGGGCATGGTGTATGGAGCAGCTTGGGGAGGGCAATTGAGAGAAGGGGTCCGGCCGTGCTGTGCAGAAGCATGCAGGCTCTGTGTCATGCAGGCACCCGGAGGCGAGGAGCTCAGTGGACGGCGTCATCCGGCCAGCTCACTCCAGCGCCCCCACCTTCTTCAGGCTGGCGCTGCGGGTGTGCAGGACGCCAAGGCGCAGCCCCGACCCGCCAAAGTCCTTGCTCATTCCCCAGAGCAGGTGCAGGTGGGTGTCCACGCCCTCCTGCGTCAGCGCCCCCTCCTCCACCAACCCCTGAGCCACGCGCTGCATGCTCACAAAGGTCGCCTCGCCGTGCACGCTCAGCGCATAGATCTCGTCGCTGCGTGCGGCGAGGGGTGGCAGTGCCTTGGGGGCCCGGCGATTGCCGTGGATCCGCGGCGGCTGCAGGCCCGCCTGGCACGACTTGGGCAGGCACAGGCTCCCGGAGGACCTTCAGCTTTTCGGTGGTGCAGTGGCGGCCAAAACAGCCCTCTCCCCCTTTCCAAATCCTGACTCCTTGCCAGGCCCCTCACCTGACGAGGTGGACGCCATTCTTCACACTCCACTCAAGCATGGATTTGAGCGTGGCGGTTGAGTACACGATGCCCAGCGGGTTGTTAGGGTTGGTGATGAGGAGGGCGCGGATGGGCGACCCGGCCTCGGCTGCCGCGGCCGCCGCCTGGGCCAACTGGGCAGTCACGTCGCCGTCTTCGACGAGGTAGAACGGCACTGGAACCACATCGTCCTTGGCCTGAGGGGTGGTGCAAAAGAGGGGTGTTTTTAGGATGGTCTTGCAGGCTGCTGGCTGACCATTGCCCTCCGCCCGGCCCCTGGAGGCTCACAGAGCCCCTGGCGCCCCAGGGGCTCACCATGAGATCCATGTCGAAGGAGGGGTAGTAAGGGGCAGGGATGAGCACCCCCTCGCCCGCGTCGGCCAGCGTGAAGAAGAGGTGGTCCAGGAGGGGGGTGACCCCGTTGCTGATCACGAGGTCGCCTGCTCGCACCTCAAAGCCCTTCAGGAAGGTGTGGCGCAGCAGGGCGGCCAGCACCTCCTGCAGCCGGGGGTCGCCGGTCATCCTGCGATGTTTGAAGGCGCCGGTTGTATGATGCCCACCGGCATGCATGTGAACTTCAGATGGGATGGCACCTTGCCGAGCACCGGCCACCACGACGATGCATGCATTCCTCTCCTGCTCCTGTCCATCCCCACCCCTCAAAACCCACATGGTGTAGTTCATCACCCAGTCCGGCAGGGGTCGGGCAAGGGCTTCCTGCATCCTGTGCGCAAAGGCGTCGCTGTGCAGCTTGTTCTCGGCCACGGCGATGAGGACGTAGCCTTCCGGGTTGTCTTGGCTCCTGAAGGGGTGCAAAAGCATGACCTTCAGTGACCCGGGCGGGCGGGCCTGTCAGGGACCCAGGACCCCCCGGCCTGGCATCGCCTCCTCACCACTGGTCCATGTAGCCCTTCATGAAGGCCTCGAAATGAGGCGCGGGCTTCAGATCCAGCAGGCGCTGGGACCGGGAAGCCAGGGCGCCCTTTTCGACAGGCATTTTTGGTGGCTCTCCTGTGCAGAGACGGATGTGTGCAGATCGCGAGAACCCGCAGATCAGCTGTACTCTGCGGTCCGCCCAGGGCAAAAGCTGTCGGCGCCCAGGTGGGAGATGGCTCTTGATCGACCAGACAGATCACTTTTCAATACGGGTTTTGGATTTATTTGTGGCTAGGAAGCATGCGGGGCTTGATGGTTGCAGGTTTCGGGTTGTTCAGCGCCCCAAACAGGACAGTAAGCTTACGTAACCTTGTTCACCTTCCTAACGATACATGTCCTTGCCCAGCCGGCTCTGAAACCTCGAAAATTATGCGGACTAGTTGACAAACCAATCACTTCACATCTCACCAAGTCAACGTACTTTGAAGTGAGTTTTTGTTTGGCGCCCCACTTGCCATAACAGTGAGATACCCATGCAACGGCCCACACGCCAATCAGGTGTGGGACTACTCCTTGACATTGTTGCATGCTGCAGCCGTGTCACGGATATCCATGCGTGCCAGCCTTTTAGCTCTGAGTTGTGGTGGCTCTGGCACCCGCTGGCAGTGCCTCAAGGGAATCAAGAATGCTCTTGAAATTCACATCACTGGACATGCTCCTTCTGTCTTTGTCATTACGATTCTGTGAGAGATCTCGCGCCTGCCCTGCCAGTAACCCGCTCCTCATCCGCTGGGAGTGCTGCCTTGAAGGGCTCATAACAATCAACAACCCAGCCACACCTCATACACAGCAGCTGCCGGGTCTCGTGTCGCCCTGCTCAGGCCCTCAAAGCGGAGCCGGGGTCCGAGAAGGTGCGCCCTGGTGATTGGGACGTCGTCCAGGAAGGCACGGCGCAGCGCCTGCCCCGCCGCGCCCGCCAGGCCCCCCTGCTGCATCAGCGCCATGCCCTCCTCCCGGTCCATGGTCGCATGGTAGAAAGCGTGCACCAGGCGCAGGAGGTGCAGGGCCGAGGTCCCACCCTCTGGCAGGTCATGGGTTTGGCAGGTGTGGGCCAGGGTTCCCGTGTTGTCGCGTGGGAAGACTAGGGTCAAGGAAGGGCAGCGTAGCAGGACCTGGGCGTCCCCTTGCTCCTGGGTGGGATCGGGCTGGTGGGGCGAGGGTGGGCCCGTCTCCTCGTCCTGACTGTCCTCCACCCAGTCTCTGTGAGCGGGCCGCGGTGCGGGTGTTGTTTCAAAGGAGGAGGAAGGTTTGGGTCAAGGGTTGTGGAGGTGGGCACGGCGCCTGCATGGGCTGGCCCTCCCAGCACGACCAACATTCTGGCCACTAGGCCATCGCTGGCCCACCCTCACCTAAGATCAGCGGGAGCGGAGGAACCTTCTCCAGCTTCTTCCAGCTCCTGCCTGACTTCCCAGCAAGTGGCAGGGTCCTCCAGCAGCGACCAGGAAACGCCCATCAGCAGCCGGGTCGGCAGTGTGCTGACTGTTGTGGGTGGCTGGCGTTGAAGTTGGAATCCAATCGGGAGGATGTATTTGCTGCTGCGCACAGACCCTCACGCTGCAACTCAGCGACCAGGCTGTGTGGAGTCTGCCCTGCCCTCCTCACATCAAGGTGCCCTGCAACTGGCCTCCCACCACTCGTACAGCGCCCTTGGTTGCATTCCCGGCCAGACACAACATTTCCCTCACACTGAAAGTGCTGCGGCGCCGCGCCAGCTCTGGACTCCAGGGCTTCCACAAATGCCCTCCGACGCTCTTCTCCCATCCTATCCGCCGAAGCATGGCACACTTGGGGCTCTGCCACAACAGTGGCACCCCCCAGAATGTCATGCTGCCGTGCAAGATCAGCGGAGACCGACAGCTGGCGCTGCTTGCTCCCTGCTTTCCAGCTTTGGTGCACCCAGTCTGGAGATAACACGCCTCGCCCTGGCACGGGGCATGTAATGATGCAGTCAGCAACAAGATTCGACAGCTTGTTGACGTTGATTGCAAGCTTGCTCTCATGACCTGTGCAGCCGTGGTGGACCATTCCAGTGCCAGGAATCCGGTTGCAAAAACAGACAGTAAGTGGCCACTGCAGCCCTAAGATTGGGGAGGAGATCCTCTCACCCGCTCGCAACCAGCTCCTGGCTTTGGCAAGGAGGCACACGACATGCGAGGCTTCATGCGCTCCGCACAGGGTGGCTCCACCTCCCTCCAGCTCCCTCTTGCACCTGGGAGGGCAGGACGCAGGATGAGCGGCCGTGCCTTCTTGGATCGGACAATGCACAGAAGTTGCCGCAACTTCGGGTGAGGAGTCCAGTGACAAGATGATTTGACAAATCTGCCCCTACAGAGCCCCCTGTGCAATTCTCCATCCCACTATACTCCTGCACCTCTGGGAGACGTCCCTACTCAATGCTGGGTCCAGGACAACACGCATGCCCCCAAACAGGGCAGCTGGCGGCTGCTTCACGGAGTCTCGTGCCAAGCAATTCTGATGTGGTAAGTTGGAAGATGTTCTCTCCTGAGCTTGCCCAAGTTCGACGGGCAGTACTGCCGGCGCAGGTAAGCCTGCAGGGAGGCGCAGCCCATCCATGGCGTCTGGGGGACTGTCTCCTCTGGGCAGGGTTGCAGTCTCTTGCGCTGGAGGCCTGGGCTTCTTGAGCTGTGCACACTGCAGGGAAGCCTGCAGTGTTACAAGATGTGCATCAAGTCAGCGCCGAACCACCAAAAGGACAGCAGCGCTTCTCTGCTCGAGCGTGCCAGGTTGGCACCAAGCAGACTGTGCAGATGCTCCTGTTTGCCACAACGAACTGTGTTCCATTTATAACACAGGGCCACCCACCTCTGCTTGTCTCTCCCTCAGTGCAGCCAGGAGGCAGCTGTGGGACATACTCGAAGTGCGAGCCGGGGGTGCCGCCGGCTGCACCGAGGCATAGGTGGCCAGAGGTGAGTCTGGCAGGGGTGGCGCAGCCATGCATGGCGGCTCTGGAGGGCAGGTCTGCCGGTGCGACCTGGCGGTTCCAGTGCTCAACTCAGGCTGACAAGGTGCAGTTAAGTTTTGGCCCCAGTCGGGCCGCCATACATTCTCCTTGGCGTCCAGAGAAGACGGAGCTAGCAGCCTCTTACTGGCAACACATGCCTCCCACCAGCTCTCGTCCGCGATGCAGAGGCCCCATCTGCTGTGCAGTGCCAATGCGGCGTCGAGTTTCGGGGAGGGGCATCGTCCCGCCTGCCCAGCGACGAGTAGATGTGTGCACCGCCTCGACAGCGATCCCGAGTACCTGAGCAGCATGTGCGATGGGAGTAGTAGTGTATCAGGTGTCTCATACATCAGATTTCTCATCTCATGGGTGGATCGGGAGCCATGCTCACCGTCCTCCTGCTGCCTCCACCACCTCCCGAATGCGGGCTCTCTGCTCGCGATCGAATCCCGTCAAGCATAGAAGCACACCAGCAGCCCACTGCCACTCCATCGCTTGGAGCACGGCTTGTTGGGAAACCACTGTCTTGCCTACATGAAGTGCCCGACGGGTCCAAGCCCTGCGTCGCTGTCCATGCAGCGCGTTCAAAAATCGTAAACCGGGCGCGTTGTCGGCCCAAACCATACTTCCCACCGATTCAATCCCGATTCGAGCATGCCATGCTAGTTCTAAAAAATGAAGGTGCACCTCGCATGAGCCTCAATTGACGGGGTGGCGAGGGGCCATGCGGCACCGGCCCCAGCACCTCGGGCCCCGCTCCCTGGCGCGTCGGCACCAGCGGGCCCTGGCATGGCTCCTTGGCGGCGCCATCGTCCTGACGCTCATGACGCTCCATGGCGACAACCAGCTACATCGCAGGGCCGAGGCGGTCCAAGCCCACGGCCAGTCGGGTCTCAACCTGGGCGCGTTGGACAACGAGCCCGACGTCCTGAGGACGCGCCGGGACCCCAGGCCCCTCCTGGACGCCCCGGTACGTGGCACAAAGTCCCCCGTCCCCACCAACATGGACGTGGTCGTGGAGCGGGTGCGGGACAGGGCGGGCCGGTCACCCCGTGTTGCAGGCGCCTCCCCTCCCAGGCGGTATGACGACCGGGGTTTGGGCGCTGGGGGATCGGTCAAGCTGGGGCCGCCCTCCAGAGCCGCACCCCGCTCCACACGCCCGTCAGCGGCTGGTCATGCTTCCCTGGGCGCCCGCAGCTGGCGCCCCGCTGCCCCCGAGGCCGCTAGCAACTGGACGCAAGCCGGCATCAGGCTGGCTGTCCTGGTGCCGCTGTGGCGGTCGCAGGGCCTGGTGGAGCCGCTGCTGGAGCACCTGCACTCCCACATCCAGGCCCAGGGTGCGGGGCTGGAATGGAGGGTGGAGACACTGCTATGCCCGGCTCACACTGTGTCTTTTCGCGGCTGGGCTGTTCGCTTCCGTAGTCAGCGGCCCCTGCTCAGCGACTACACTTTGTGACGCCCTTCCCTCAGAGTTCATCACTCGCCCAAACCCACTCTCATACCTCCCCTCCCCCTCCTCCTGGTGCAGCCGGCATCGCAGATTACCGGGTCCACATCGTGGAGCAGGACCCCGCGCAAAACTTCACCCCCGGCCTGCTCGTGAATGTGGGCCTGGCGGTGGCCGCAGAGGTCCAGGCCCTTCGCGAGGAGGACGTGGTGGTGTACCAGCAGCCCACGCTACTGCCCGCAGGCAGCGTGCCCTACTCCCTGGCGCCGGGCCAGCGGTTCCTGCACCTCGCCACCGGCCAGTCCTTCTTCGGCGGGCGCCTGCCATACCCGGGGTACTGCGGCGGGGCCTGGGCTATGCGGGTGGGCACCTTCCGGGAGCTGCGGGGCATGGCCAACCAGTACGTCGGATTTGAGGGCCTGGAGGACGACCTCTGCCACAGGGTGGAGCAGCTGGTGAGAAATTGGAGGGGAGGGGGGGTTCAAAGGAAAGGGTGGCGGGGTCTGAAGAAGAGGAAGGCTGCCAGGGTTTGGGGGAGGTTTGGAAGGTGTGCGCACCAGAATGCTCTGCTTGATAGGTACCATGCAGCAGCCCTGGCTCGGTGCTCTGGAGGCACCATGCCTCTTGATTCTGATTGGCCTCCAGCCACAGCCCCCTGGCACGTCATTGCACACATGAATTCGCTCCCCGCTTCGCATAGACGCGGAACCTCACCATCCCTGGGCTGGACCCCGCGCGGGGCCGCTTCACGAATCGCGACGAGGCGATGGTTGCCAACCACCTGGCGGCCCTGCACCGCCCCGCCAACCAGCGCCTGTTCCGGTCCCGGTGGCAGGCCGGCAACGGCACGCGTGAGATCGCCGACGCGGTGGCGGGGACGGCAGGGGACGGCCTGCACGCGCTGCCGGAGGCGTGGCGCGAGCGGCTGGCCATCCGAGAGGAGGCGGCGCACCACACCTGGTGGCTGCTGGGCGGGCCGCCGGACGCCGACGGCTGGGCGGGGGACGGCGAGCCGGGCGACGCGGACGCCAACGCCGCCACGGTTACGCTGCTCAGCCGAGACGCGCGGTCGGACGTGGGGCTTGGGGACACGCGGGCCCTACTCAGCCTCGCACACGGGCCCATCGACTATGACGACCTCCTAGCCTGACGCACTCGCGTCAGGCTGGGAGGCGAGGAGGCCAGCGTCGGGTGAGGAGGCTGCCCGCTGCGCTGCGAGCCACACGCCTCGCCCTTGGCCGACTGCGGCCCATTTCCCTCTTTTTCCACACAGAGCCCAGATCCTTACCTCTCGCGCCTGTTCCCTGCTCCTAAACTCCCAGTCTAAAACCCCCTCGATCTCAGCACGCCTTGCCCCTTGCATCGCCAGGACCTTGCCTTCAGCCCCTAGGAATCCCTTGTTGAGAACCCCCCTCCTTTTCCCACGCCTGGAACCCTTGATACGCTTGCCAGCCTCTGCTGTATCTTTCCCCAGCTTTCTGCGGTGTCAACGGCCGAGGTGCCATGGGCTCGGCATGCCAGGGCACAGCGGGACCATCAAGAGCGCTTGGAAAAGTAAGCCTCCAGCTTCTCCACGGCCGCCTGCAGCTTGGCATCCGTCTTGCAGATGACAAAACGCACGAGCCGCTTCGGCGCCGTAGTCCTGCGAGGATTTTTTTGCCATGGTCTTACGGATGTGGAGCTGGATCAGCAGCAGTGTGAAGGTCCTGCGCGACGAGTGTGCCGCATTCACCACCCATATACAGCACGCAAGACCCCAGGCATTGGTAGCCAGGGGGGCCAGTTCTACGCTCATGGTGGACTGCACAGGCCCACCTGTCCTCGTAGAAGGCGCTGACTGGGATCAGTGTGATGCCGCCCTCTGTCGTGAGCCTCGAACAGAACTGGGGCGACAGGTTTTGGGATTCAATGTGATGCAGAGCGAAGCGTGCCGCAGAAGGACAGCTCCCCGTATTTGCGGCTAAACCAAACAGGGAGGACGTATGGATCCCACCACCCTCACCTCAACGTCCTCCTCGGTGCTGTTCTCGGGCAAGAGACCGGAGAAGTCGGTGGTCAGAAAGTAGGTGCCCTGACCAGGAAGCACCTGGAAGAGAGAGGTGGGAGGGGTGTGGGTGAAGCCTGTCGACTTCTATGTCCAATCGCACAGGACTTTTTTGGCATAAGCCTCTGCTCAGGCCCATAGCTCCACATACAGTCAATGTGGCCTACTGCATGGCGCCTAATCAGCCAGGATTTGTGCCGTCACCATTTCAGCCTCCACATACCTTGAAGCCGATGGCGGTGAGCTTGGCTGCCAGCCACTCCCTCTTCTTGAGGAACATCGGCCCCAATCTAGAAGGTTTGCGGTGGGGGGATGCAGGTGGTGAGCGGGTGGGAGCTGAGAGACGGTTGAAGCCACGAAATACGTCCTTGCAGATTATATCCTGCCTGATGATTCCTCCCTCGCCAGCCGCTGTGACTTGCGCACACCCTCACCCCCAAGCCACCCCCACTCCCCACCCACCCTTCGTAGAAGCTGCGCTCCTCCCTCAGCCCCCGCGCCACCGCCCGCTGCAGCGCCGCCGGCACCGTGAAGGTCAGGAACTGGTGGGCCTTGGCCGCGGCCTGGACCATGGGCGCTGGGCCGGTGACCCAGCCCACCTTCCAGGCCGTGAAGCTGAAGGTCTTGCCCGCGGACCCGATGCGGATGCTGCGCTCCGCCATGCCAGGCAGCGTCCGCAGCGACACGTGCTCGTAGCCTGAGGCAAGTGTCAGTGGAGTAGAGGAAAGGATGTCAAATATGCGGCAGGTGTTCAAAGCAAGGCAGGATTGAACCACTGGGCGGCGAACCTAGTTGCGCTCAAGGCTACGCCCCCAGCAACTTCAGAATCGCACCTGGGTAAACTAGGTGCTCATACACTTCATCCAGGGCTGCATAAGCATCGTGCTCCTGCACCAGGGAAGCAATGGTCTCCAGTTCAGCCCGTGAGAAAACCTGTGGTGGTGGGTAAGGAAGGCGCCAGGAGTTGTGAAGGGGCCCGGCAGCCATGCAGTGTTCGCTCCTGAGGGAACCCTGTGCCAGATCTCCTGCCGGCGCACTTGTCGAGGTTTGCTCCGTATCATCATTACCTACCCATGAGAAGGTACACCATGTTACCTTTCCACTGGGGTTGTGTGGCGTGTTGACGACAATCAGCTTGGTCTTGGCGTTGAACGCTGTGGCAAGCTCTGCAGCGGGTGGGTGGGCGGGGAGGGCAGAAGTGGGCTGCCTTGCACCAGCCCCCCTGACCCACAGCAGTCCTGAAACAGTCCATGATGCTGCTGCAAAGGGGCAGCATGCACCGTCACACCACCCATCCCCTGGCAGCGCCAGTCCGCACCTGCCGCGTCAAAGGACCAATCTGGCGCCCGCAGTTGGACCACAACCGGCACCGCACCAGCCCTTCGAATGATAGGGATGTAGGAGTCGTAGAGCGGCGCAAAGACCACAACCTCGTCCCCTGGCTCCAGTAGGCCCAGGAAGGCGGCTGCCAGGGCCTCGGTGGCGCCGCTGGTGATCAGCACCTGGGACTGCCAGTCCAAGGGGAGGCCCGTGTAGCGCTCGCTGTGTTCTGCCAGCGCCTGGCGCAGCTCTGGCACGCCGACCATGGGCGGGTACTGGTTGCTGTCATGCAGCATGGACCTGGGTGGCAGCACCAAAGGGTAGGAGGGCGGTGCAGTACACTGAATGCACCGATCACCCAGATCAAGGGAGCCATTCCCCACCCTTGCGCAACTTGCACCTCAGCTGGCTCCTGCACCCCTCCCGATTGAGAGTCCATGTCCAGAATGCATCCCTGAAAACGAATCCCCATTCTTTCCAAAATACCACCGGCCATGCCCCAACGCACTGGTACGCGGCCTCCTTCATGGACGCGGGCCCCTCCAGCTCGTTGTCCGGGAATCCCTGCCCCAGGTTGATGCTGCCATGCCTGGCAGCCAGCTGGCTCATCAGCTCGAATATTGTGGTCGGCAGGCCACCGAATGTCGAATTGAAGCCCCGGCTGGACATGGCTGGCCCAGCGCGGCGCGGAGGCAGGTATACTTGTGGCAGGTGTGTCGGAGGTGACTGGGCAGCAGCGAGTGAGGGCCTGACTACGTTTCTGACATGGGAGTTGAGGGTGCGCAACATGCCATATGCCGATCCAGTGCCACTGTTTGAACAGGGCAGCAGTGAAGGTTGCATGACGTCGGCAGCGTGCTCATTTGTGTGCGATCAAAACGAAACTGCTCCACGTGGCCGCGGCGGTTCCGTTCCGGTGTACGGAGAAGTTGTAACCTGAGCCTGTACATAATCACTACAAGAGACCATCGTTGTAGCCGGAGGCAGCCTGAATATGGAGGATGCTTTACAGGAATGCTTTCATTGAGGGTGGATCACGAACTCAGATTGCATTCTGGACCAAGGGGGGAGCCCATGGCGCTCACATCTGCCACCACTTGCGATTGGAGTAGCCATCGGCGAGCTGCTTGGCCAGAGAGGCAAAGTTGCCGGCGTCATCCTCCAGCTCCGCCGTCCTGTCCTCCAGCCTGGACAGCTTCTCGCCGCGCTCCCCCAGGCGCTGCATGTTCTCGGCCATCACCCCGGCCACGCCGTCGACCCTGGGGGCAGGGGGAGGGTTGGCACATCTCAACACATCATGGCTGGTAGGGGCCCGAGCATGCGCTTGGTGGTGCCTTCTGACACGCCAACCCCGCAAGCCGGGGCTGACGATACCACCTCCACCGCTGCCACCAGGCTGGGCCCCGCCGTGCCCGCGCACCGCTTGCTGGTGGTCGGCCGACCATAGGTCCGCTTCACCATGGAGACGGTGCGGTTCACAGGGCGGGGGCCGCCGGCGGCCGGGGGCGTGGCTTCCCTCGGAGTCGTGGACGGCCCGGCGAGCGGTGGGGGCACCCCCCAGCCGTGCCGGGACGATGGCAAGGCGGCCCCCGCTCCAGCCAGAGGTCTGCAGCAACCGCGAGACGGCGGAGGGGGAGGGGTGGGAGATTGACCCCGGGGCACAAGACCCTGACTGCCGAGCAGCAGGGGTGCGAGCGGACCGCATGCACCGGGGCATGGCCGGCGGCCGACGCAGACGGCGCAGCTGGGACGCTGGCACTGGTCCAGCCTCGTGCGCCCCCATGTCCCAGTCAGCCGCGGGGTCGTGTGGTCCTACTCTCTCCCCCCCATCCCGACACACACTCACCCGACCTCTGCCACCGGCTTGACGGCTCCCAGGCTGTGCCCTGTTGCCGATGCCCCGGGCTCCACTTCGTCGGGCAGGTAGTCCAGGTCGATGCTCTCCTCGGACTCGGACTTGGACTCGGCGCCAAACAGGTCCTGGAGGGGTCAGCAGGCGGGGCTGAGGACCTCTGGAAGATGTGTGCATGGATGGTTCCAGGCGTGCTGATACAGCAGTTGGTAACGGGGATATCCACACGGCGGGTAAAAGGGTCAGGGGCACGGCTGTGTGGCGGGGGGAGTCAGGCATCTTCCCCCCCTCCCCATTCCTCTGCCCGAGAATTTCCTTCGGGCCACTCCCAACCACAGTCCTGCACCCACCTCCACGCTGGGCAGCGTGCTCGTGGCGTCGGGTTGCGCGCCGCTTGACCCCGGCATGGTCAGGCGTTGGAGCGAGGACACGCCGGCCACGCGCGCGCGGTCCAGCTCCTGCGAGAAGTGGTGATGGGGGGCTTTCGGGGGCAGGAAAGCATGCCGCAGGTGCCTGGAGAGATCCATGTTGTGCCCCGATCTGTCTGGTCCCACCATGGGTCCATGATCTAGGCCACACCCCTGGATCCCTCCTCATCAAGGTACTCCCCGGGCCCCAAACAGGAACCCCTCTCCGCCACGTCCTTCCCCTCGAAAGACTGAACACACCTTGAGAACGCCCATGGGCAGGCGGGAGGCGCCCTCCACCACGTCCAGCGCAGTGCCCCTGACCCCCTCGAACAGGCGCGCGCCCAGGGCCAGGGGCGCGGCCG